CCTCTTTTTATTCCCCCCCCTCCTCCCTCTCTTCTTTCTTACCCCCTCCCCTGTAGCGTGGCCGAGCTGCACTCCGGTCCGCGGTGGCCGGCCGGAGTTATAGGAAGGTGCACACTCAGTGTGCACTTCCTGTCAGTCCGGCCGGTTACAGGAAACAGAAACTCCGCGCGGAACAGGAGTTTCTGTTTCCTGTAACCGGCCGGACTGACAGGAAGTGCACACTCAGTGTGCACCTTCCTATCACTCCGGCCGGCCACCGCGGACCGGAGTGCAGCTCGGCCACGCTACAGGGGAGAAGCTGCAGGCGCCTGACCGCTCTTCACAGAGTGCTCAGGCGGCTGCAGTATTTAAAGGGCCGGCCCCAGGTGCCGACAGCCCACCGGGAAATTTCCCGGTATCCCGGTGGGCCAGTCCGTCCCTGCTGAGGTGCATGTTGTGTAAAAGTTGCCAACACTCTGACGATTCCATAGCGGAAGAGTTCCATACTTTCACTGACATAAAGCACAAAAACTGTTCGGCAGGAGCTTCATGGAATGGGTTTCCATAGCCGAGCAGCTGCATGCAAGCCACATATCACCAAGTACAATGCCAAGTGTCAGATCGAGTGGTGTAAACCATGCTACAATTAGGCTCCGGAGCAGTGGAAATGTGTTCTGTGGATTGACAAATCATCTTCTCTGTTTGGCAGTCTGATGGGTGAGTCTGGGTTTGGTGAATGCCAGGAGAATGTTACCTACCTGGCTGCATTGTGCCAACTGTAAAGTTTGGTGGAGGGGGTGTATTGGTATGGGGCTGTTTTTCAGGGGTTGGATTAGGTCCCTTACTTCCAGTGAAAGGGAATCTGAATGCTTCAACATACCGAGACATTTTGAATAATGCTATGCCTTGTGGGAACAGGCCTTTTTTTATGTCAGCATGATTTTCTCCAGTGCACAAAACAGGGTCCATAAAGACATGGTTGTATGAGTTTGGCATGGAAGAACTTCACTGGCCCACACAGAGCCCTGACCTCAACCAAATTGAACACCTTTGGGATGAACTGGAAAGAAGATTGTGAGCTAGGCCTTCTCGTCTAACATCAGAGCCTGAACTCACAATTGCTCTGCAGGATGAATGGGAAAAATTCCTACCGAAAAACTCTAAACTCTTGTGGAAGCCTTCACAGAAAACTGAAAGCCCTGCAGAATACTTTTAACATTTTAAAGGCTGAGAAGGCATAACAGTATTTCTAGTTCTACAGCACCATTTGCCCAGCAGTGATCCATACTATAATTATGGGAAAATGGGTCATATCTTTAGTAAATTGCAGGACTCATGGGAGGAGAACAGATGGTCAGAGCAGGCAGGGCTAGAGAGATTAGAGATTACAGCCAGAGACTGTTTGGTATTGTCAGTTACATACAATATTGCTACCTGGATGGCATGTTTAATTGGAATCTGATAATTCCTCTCAATACATCCATTGACATCATTAATTAAGTCTTTGTTTATGTGCACATTTATAAGGAAGAGCAACTGTAATACAAGAAAGTTATCTTCCTGAGCATATAAAGAACAAATAAGCACTATAACTATAATATACCATTATGAAATATATAACATAACACACATACACGTGCAGAATAACTAAAAATGCAATTTTCGAGCCACCTTAAAGAAACTCACATGAATGATAATGTCCATATAGAACATAATTGGAATAGCAAAATGTTTTGGAAAACCAAAAGGGTCTCTCCCTGGATGATTCTAATACTGTTACTGGAGTAGGGGGACCAGCAGCAGCAAAAAGGCAAATACATCCTCAAGAGCCCCTGGGATACTATACCAGAGATCTTTTTGTCAGTCTTTAAGGGATGTTGAAATACATGAGAGGTATTATGAGATGAGTGCAACTATACGTACTTGATTTGTATGAGCAAATAATTTTTGGCAGCTTCCTAAAAGAACATGGGCCTTGTCTGTGAGATGACACAGTTCAACTGTTCATGGATACTGACCATCATCATAGCAAGACTGGATGATACAAGACAATAATGGAACTATTGTGTACACCAAACACGTGTTAAAATAGAAAATACGTCAAAAGTAACTTAGCCTTTATGTACAGCTTCTAAGATCACTTTCCACAATAGTGATCCTTTGCAGTACAAGAACAAACAAGCAAAAACTGGGATCCAGCTTTATGCCTAAAATATAAAATGAACAGCACATAGTATAGCACTGTAAAAATATATGTTGAATGAATTGAACTCACAAATATATGGAAAATTCAGGCACGTCAACCAAGGCTTCCCTGATCCAGGGGGTCTGGACCTCCTGCTTTCTCCTTATCTCTCCAATCAGGAACCAGGAATCAGAGTTGGTTAGATGGTATAAAAAATTACTGTTAAACAGCAATAAAACTGACAGAAACAATAAAAAAATGAAAGTGCAAAGTAGGACTTGAGACCTGTTCTATTTTTTTTATTGTATGTGTCAGTTTTATTGCTGTAATTAAAGCTCTGGGGCCTGACGGTATTCACACATGAGTACTTAAGGAGCTAAGTGAGGACATAAGTGAACCTCTGTATTTAATCTTTTGAGATTCTTTTCTTTCAGGAATTATACTGGAGAATCGGAGGAAGGCAGACGAGGGTTCAAAATCTTTGCCTGGAAATTATAGATCTGTGAGATTAACTTTGGTGGCTGGGAACGTATTTTAAAGGTTATTAAGGGATAATATTCAGGAATTAATTGTCAAGAACATTGTTATTAGCAATAATTAGCATGGTTTTATGAAACATAGGTCATGTCAAACTAACCTAATTCCATTCCACGTAGAGTATAGATCAAGGTGTTGCAGTGGATGTGATCTACTTGGATTTTGCCAAGGCATTTGATATGGTTCCTCACAATTGGTATAGATGAAAATCCTTATTCTTGGGTAGAACACTGACTTAAAGATAGAGTACTAAGAGTTGTCATTAATTGTAAATTTTCAAGCTGGACAAAAGTGGTAAGTGGTGTCACTCGGTGTTCAGTTCTGTGTCCACTTCTATTTAACATATTTATAAATGATTTTGAAATAGGCATTAAACGTTGTGTTACAGTGTTTGCAGATGATACAAAACTCTGTAAAGTAATACAATGTGAGTATAATATTTCTTTATTGCAGAGGGATTTAGATAAATTGGGGGACTGGGCACTCAAATGGCAGATGAAATTGAATGTAGAAAAATGCTTATTTATGCAGTTCAGTGTGTAAAGAATGCACAAGCAACTAATACCCTAAATTGTAGTGAATAACTGATAACAAGAAATGAGAAGGATTTGGGAATTGTTATAGACAACAAACTAGGCACCAATATACAATGTCAATTGGCAGTTGCTAAGGCCAGTAAGGTATTGTCAGGTATAAATAGGGGCAATTATTCTCAGGTTGAGAATATCATTTTACAACATGACAGGAGGCTTCATATTTGCATTGACTTTCTATACTTAAAACTCCAATAGCAACAAGTCAATCAAAGAACTTTAACCAATCAAAAACAACAGTCATATAAGATAGGACAGCCCCCAACTTTGCCTCTTTCTTTGCTGCTTCAGCAGAAACAGGTCAGAGTATATGTTTCTTAGCTTGTCACTGTATCATACAATCCTATTTTACTGTTTTATATGCTTCTTTCTGTCACAATAGTGTTACTTGCCTATCTTATATTGCTACTTCTACTATGTACACTTGCTAATCTGCAGTCTCCTACATTTGTGCCTGTCTGTCAGCCTCTAATCGTTTTAGTGTGGCTCCCTAGACTCTCCCCCTTCACTATCTGCACTGATACTAACCTGACCGCAGCAAGCCGTTTTTTGGGCATAGTGCTCCCTCTCGGTTACATACTAACCTACTGGAGCTGTTAGTTCTTCTAACGCTGCTTTCACTCTCTCGGCACTGCAGGAGTTCTTCCTGCCGGGTCCTTGTGTGCGGTGGCCATTTAGGATCTCGCGAAATTCACGGAGGCCATTTTCTTTTCTCACAGGCACTCAGTAAACCGGCCTGCAGCTTACCGCAAACTGGAAATCCACCTACTACTCCCATCACACCCAGGCACACAAAATTAAACACAACAGATGATATTTTGCAAGACTATCTACAAGTTTATGACAGAGAAATTATGTCTGTCTATGTACATTAATAGTCTGTATGGGCAATTACTATATGCTGGCACAGGATTCGTAAAGGGGTTTATCACCCTTATATACAGCTAGTCCCTTGTCACTTTATGAGTGCAAATAAATGCCAGACTGTAAACCTAACAGCCAATCTTTGTATATGTGCTGGTTATACCTGGTGTGCAGAATGCTTGCTACAACTGCATGCAGGTGTGAGCTGCCTGTTACTGATAAGTGGTAAACCCACACGCCCTACAGATTTGCTCTCTGGGCCTGACCCTACAGAAGAGCACCAGGGGTAAAACCCCTGATTGCAGTACCTACCAAAAGCACTCCTGGAATTCAATACGTGAACCCAATCCCATGGATATGATCAACCACGTATATACGGTACCTCCCCACTGGGGACTTAGGGGTCACCCCTTTGACTATTGGAGTCTCTTAACGCCTCCCCATATTTACAATGGTTTCATTCCCATCTATATTCAGCCGCTCAATACGACCAGCGCTGTGCCTGAGCCCTCACATGAAAGCATAGTAAGTGGTATTTGTATATACCCACAACTGCACTGAGCAAGGGTCTACCCACCAGGCCTTAAATAGGCAAGGGGTCTAACACGTATGTCCTCTATTCTATAGGACATCAACATATACTGACATGTCAGACTCCCCACAACAAACCCAGGATTTCCAGGCGATGATAAACACTGCGGTGGAAGCTTTCATGGATGATCACAAGTTCCGCCTGACATCCACTCAGGTTATGGGGATGACACCGCAAGATGCGGATGACATTACGGGCTCTGAAGCTCCCTCTAAGGACCTCCAATCCCTTCTGAAACGTCAAAGAGTTGGCCTAACCGTACCACATGCTCGGACGAAGGGGAAGGCACCTGCTAAACGCAGAAAGTATACGTCTAGACTGGAATTACCCCCACCAGTAGTTTCCTCAGAGGAGGATGAGGCCTACCCCCAGAATCTGGACATCATCGACGAATGGCGGGCAAATGCCCTCGAGTCGGATGATGAGGATGACTGGCAAGATGTTCTCTACTCAGAGTCGAAACACGTCACAGAATCCTTTGCGGGGGATTCTTTTTCACAGGACACACATGGATCCTTCCCAACGGAATGTGAAGGGCTATTCCTGGACGCTCAAGTTTGCCCTCTCTTTGATCCATGGTACCTGCCTAACCACCTAGCCAAGTTCGTCCACTTCTGGATGTGCAAGCCGTTAGATCAGGTGGTACAAGCACGTCTTAGGGCAAAATGCCCATTACCCATGCTGCAAGATAAAATTGCATTTACCCCGAGTTTGGTCGTCTTCATGTCCTGGATGGGACACGACCCACAGAAAGGGATCGAAAAGGGTCTCAAAGCCTCTGAAGACTAGTTACTGGATCTACTTGGCCCCCTCGCCAAGATCCTGTATTTCGCAGACTAGGCACTTTCACAGGGCATGCAACTAGACCCCAACACCATCAGAGAATGGGCCCAACATTGTGTCTGCATGCTGGGGACCACCAATGCAGCATTATGCACAGAAAGATGCAGAACGGCCGTGTTACCCATCGACTTGAAGATGATGAATATGGCCCATAAAAAGCTGGGGTCTTCAGCCAACTGCCTGCTTTTTGGTGACCCTCATACCTCTACAGGGGAATGGACAGAGGTCGAGGACACCTTTACACAGGTGAGTCAACCGTTTCATACAAATGTCTCTACACTAACAGCAGGCAGGTTATGCCTTTTTTTACAGAATTGGGAAGAAATCTTGTCAGACATATGGATTTGCAAACCGTAAAAGGGTACATCATGGAGTCCCACACCCTACCGTATCAGGTACAACCTCCGTCACCATTACGAACCTCAAAGAAGCATGAGGCCCTGATCGATGAAGTAATCCGAACTCTCTTTTCCAAAGGCTCGGTTCAATATGCTCAAAGCGAGGACAGTTTTCTTCAGCAACATATTCCTGGTGCAAAGAAAACCGGTGCTGTCATCAACCTATGGCAACTCAACTCATTCGTAGTATATCATCATCCTGCTTCGGGATCTGCTCCTCAAAGACTATTGGTTCACTGGACCTCAAGGATGCATACCTTTCAGTATCAATAGCTCAGTCATGCTGAAGATTCCTGAGACTCCATTGGCACGGCAGGACAGGTCAGTTCACCTGTCTTCCTTTCGGACTCAGTTCGGCTCCATGTTGCTTTACAAAGCTGCTAAAATGGTCATGGCTCGCCTGCAATCACTAGGGATATGATGCATAATCTATTTGGACGATTTACTGCTATTCTGTGACTACGCTCTTAAATGAAATTTGTAGTAGACTTCCTCGTGTCCTTGTGATTCGTGGTGAATCACGACAAATCAGTGTTGGAACCGTCACAAATCGTCCAACTCCTGGGGTTCAAAATTGATTCAACCTCATGCATACTTTCGACTACCCTTAAAAAAGAGAGCAGCTATGCGCAAGGAAATTAGGAAGATACATCCAACTACGTCTCCTCGCTCTGGTAGTTTCATACAAACTATCTACCCAGGTCCTCTTCACTAACTAGCCATGCAGTGCCCGAAGGCACACTATCTACTCTCTGGAATTTCATATGACCAGACGATACTTTTCACGACCATGGTACAGTCAAAACTCCGATGGTAGCTTCTCCACATGCAAGCATGGAATGGGAAAGCCAGATTTGGTCCCACACTGGATTTCGTGGTGGAATCTGACCAGCCTATGGGGCTGGGAAGCACATTGTGTGGGCTCATCCACAGGAGGATCTTGGTGACTTGAGAAAAAGGAATTTCACATAAAAGGCATGGAACTGATAGCAGGTTCCTTTGAAATCCACAGTTTGGCCTGCCACATGTCCAACTGCTGCATCCTGTTACACATGGACAACATCTCAGCAGTCCAATATATCAATCGTCTGGGCGGAGCTCGCTAACGGCACTATCAGATGCAACAAAAGACATTTACAGTTTCCGTCTCTCACGCAATATCTCGCTACAGGTGGAATACCTACCGGTAATATCCAACCTCACAACAGACCGTTACTCATGACATTGGTGGGACGGCAATGACTGGCACCTCCAAGAGTTGATGTTTCAAAAATTGTACGAATACAGGGGTCCCCTCATTATCGATCTATTCACCTCACGGACCAATTGCCAACTTCCCAGACTCTTCAGCTGGCTACCGGATAGGGAATGCAAAGCAGTAGACGCGTTCCTTCAGAACTGGCCGAACGAGGGGGCTTGCGCTTTCTCCCCGTTCTTCATGTTGGCGAGAGTCATACATTTGGTATGCAACCAGAAAATTTCTCTGCTCCTCCTGACACCACTATGACAGAGTCAAGCTTGGTTCCCAGACCTTCTGGAACTATCAAACAACATCTACCTCCATGATTTTAAATTTCCTATCTCATCTATTCTCTGCAGGTAAACGTATTGGTCAATTAATGTGACATGATCTGTGATTTCGGCGGCTCATGTCCAGGGTCGACCGGGATACTCTGATATGTAGACTATTAAGAGGTATTCGGTTATCACGCCCTCCAGTTCCGAAATATTCGAGGCTTTGGGACGTCGATGTGGTGTTACGATTTTCACAGGAATGGCTGGACAATGCTTCGTTGTCCTTACGACAATTTTCAGCAAAACTGACAGAACAACTTTGTCTGTTTTCCTTTCGTCAGGTAGCCGACGTTCTGGCTTTTGATGTAGACAGTGTATCCTTCACTCCGGACGGCGCATCTTTCTCGGTGTCCCGACGTATTAAGACTACTCTACAATGGTTTTTACCCATTTTTTTCCTATGGAGCCTCAACTTTGCGTGGTCAAGACGATACTCCACTATGTAAAAACTACCGACCCATTACGTGGCTCTCCTACTGGTCAACTTCTCGTGTCATACACCAAACTGCACAAGCCGGTCACTACTACCACTCTCTCTAGATAGGTCTGCTGGATTCTGAATTCGGCAGGTGTCGAATCTTGTTTCGGTGCTCAGTCTGTACGGGGCGCAGCAGCGACGCATGACATTTCAATGGGAGCGTCGCTTTCGGATATCATGCATTCGGCGTATTGGTCTCGGGAAGAGACCTTTTGGATTTTCTATTTCTGTCCATCCTCTCACACTTTCTTTTCTCTACTCGAATAGCATTAAAAATGCAAAATATGAAGCCTCCTGTCATGTGGTAATATTGTAGATTAGCAAACGTAGTGTAGTTATAATCTAAATTTTAGTAATGACAGGAGGCAAGTATTTTCCCCCACCCCCTTTGTTTTCCCCTCCCTTTTATATATATTTTGTCTTACTCTTGTCTATGTACTACCTTTTCTATAGTTTGGATTCTACTTGGATATACTGTAGTTTTGTCTATTTCTAGGATTTGCTTAAGGTATTGATATGTATCGATTTGAGTCTGAAAAATGAAGATTTTAGAAGAAAGAAGACAATTTATTATTTTTATATTTTGTTTTTTTTACAGGTATCTAGTTAATGGTCCCCCCTCATTATTTTTAGGGTGAGGGGGGTAGGTAGGTGTAACGCATCACCTGGTACCCCGACTGGGAACCTCAGTTGAAGGATGCTCCTAGCGCTTCCTGAGGACTCCAAGCACTGCAGCAGACACCACAACCACCGAACGGGAGAAGCATACGAATGCTCTCAAGCATATAAATGCTGTAAGCAGCTGAACAGGAAAAACATACAATCAGCTTACACTCCTGGCAATCAGCATACAATCCAATTCCCCCAATAACGAGACGACACTTTGTTTTGAGGTCAAGCAGAACTGACTGTACTGGCATATACAGCCTCTTTTAGTCACAATCCACAAACATAGTATTGCCCACAGGGTTTTGAAATACAACCAATCAATCCGTACAATACACACAGACACTCCCACACAAAATCCTCCCCTCTGCCTGTGATATGATTACTGAACACAATGGTTAATATAATTATCACAGGCAGAGAAATACAGTATTTTAAAACATATCACAGGGACCCCAAAACATGCAATAACCCCATAAAATCCACAGTATATCCACGGAACCGGGGGATCTGGGTGAACCACATATCCAAAATTCACCCAGATCCGTTCAGTAGTTTGGAAGATACAGTTTAATGCAGATTCTGCAGAACATATATAAGCTATATGAAAAATAATTACTGTATAATGTGTCCCCTGTTGTATAGTTTAAAACTACTGCACAATGTCTTTGTGCACCAAATACCGGCGAGATGGCACCGTGTAGAAAAGTCCAAACAGTGTCTGTGAGTTAAAATGGCCGCCATCCATTGTTCTCACCATGTGCTTCATCCATTGTTCTCACCATGTGCCTCTGATACAGGAAATGGTGGCCACCCAGTAACTCCACAGTATGTCCCCAGATGGTTCTTAAAGGGCCAGCAGCAGCACAACACAAATCCATTATGCCCAAATCATGTCTTTAAAGGGCAATACATCCCAGGGGCCATAGTCACATGGCAGGAGGCTGGCAATCAGTCTTCTCCAATGCCCAGTGGCGAGGTCGGTTTGGCCACAGTAGGGGGTATTTTTTTTGAAGGGGGGTACTAGTCAAGGTGAGAGAGGACAGCAGCATCGACAAGCACCATGCCGTATCAGGCGTTAAATATGGTCGGATGCGCTCAATGTTTTTGATATGGAAGCAGCAGCAGGTCAGAGTTAAAGAGAACACCTAGGCAGTGAGGTTTAGAGGTAGAGCGGATGGTCCATTGACTTGGAGGGACACAGTCAAGGGAGGAGCAACACTTGAGGGAGGGAAGACCAGAAATTCTGTTTTGGATAGGTTCAATTTAAGGAAATGAGCAACCGTCGAGTCGGAAATAGCAGAGAGGCAGTCAGAGACACGAGTCAAGAGGAGTGGTGAGAAATCAGGGGAGGACAGAAATTTGCGTGTCATCCGCATAGAAATGATACTGGCAGCCGAAGGAGCTAATGAGTTTACCAAGGGAGGCAGTGTAGATTGAGAACAATAGGGGACCAAAGACAAACCTTTGGGGAACACCAACAGAGAGGTATTGGTGAGAAGAGGCAGAGCCAGAGCCAGAGAAAGAAACACTGAATGAGCACTGGGAGAGGTAGGAAGAGCACCAGGAGAGAGCGGTATCTCGTAGACCGAGATTACGGAGGATGAAAAGAAGCTGTTGATCGACAGTGTCAAAAGCAGCAGGAAGGGCAAGGAGAATTAGGATAGACTAGTGGCCATGGGATTTAGCAGTGATAAGATCATTGTATACTTTGATCACAACTGTTTCAACAGAGTGACGAATGCAGAATCCAGATTGAAGTGAGTTAAGCAGAGAGTTGGATTCGAGGAAGTCTGTCAATCTCGCATATGCAACTCGCTCAAGGATCTTGGAGGCAAACGACAGTAGCAAGATAGGGCGGTAGTTGGACAGGGAATTAGGGTCAAGGTTGGGCTTTCTCAGAATCGGGGTTACAGTTGCATGTTTGGAGGGTAGAGGAAATGTGCCAGAGGAGAGGGAGAGATTGAAAATGTTAGTGAGAGGCAGAGCAAGATAAGGAGACAAAGATATTGAGTATGCTGTGCAATTTTGGGCACCTGTTCTAAAGAAGGATATTATGGCACTAGAAAAGGTGCAGAGGCAGGCTACACAATTGATAAAAGAAATAGAACATTTTAGTTATGAAGAAAGGTTAACAAATTTAAATATCTTTAGTTTGTAAAAAAAAAGGGGATATGACATTACACAAATATATTCTGGGCGAATACAAACAATTGTCTGAAAATCTGTTCATAAACAGGACTATACTTAGGACACAAGATCATGCATTTAGACTGGAAGAAAGGAGATTTAGTCTAAGGCAAAGCAAAGGGATTTTTACAGTAAGAACAATAAACATGTGAAATTCTCTGGCTTAAGAGGTGGTTTTATCAGAGTCTATACAGATGTTGAAACAGCAATTGGCTAAATACTTGCAAAAACATAATATACAGGGATATAATTTTTAATTATTGGGGTAATAACTTCTTGATCCAAGTAGATATCTGACTGACATTTTGGGGTCAAGAAGGAATTATTTAACTAGTTTGATGCAAAATTGCATGCACTTTACACAGTTTTTTGCCTTCTTTTGGATCAACAGCAAAAACAAATGTGAGAGGCTGAAATTGATGGACAAATTTCTCTTTTCTGCTATATAACTAGGTAACTATGTAAGGGAAACCTGTCTGCCCTAAGTATGGCAGGTCTTTTGTTAAAAAAAAAAAAATCAAAAATGTGCTGGTGGTGCTTCTAATGTTTCCAAGTGCCTTTCATTGTTTAACCCTGCCTGACTGTTAAAGGGACACTATAGCCAAATGAACAACTTCAGCTTAATGAGGTTGTTCAGGTGAGAACTATAGCTCCCTCATGCCTTTCTCATTCTGAGAAAATACAGTGTTTACATTATAACCTAGGAACACCTCTAGTTGCAGGCACTCAGACTGCCACCAGAGGGACTTCCAAGTTCATAAATGCCTAATTCGCATTCATCACGTTTGACGTCTTCACGCTTTGACTGCGAGTGAGTGTGGGTGAGAGAGATTGTTAGTGAGAGAGAGTGTGAGAGAGTAAGTGAGTGAGATTGAGTGAGAGATCCATCCCTCTCTATCCATCCATCCCTCTCTATCCATCCCTCCCACCCTCTATCCATCCATCCCTCCCTATCCATCCATGATGGATGGATAGGGATGGCTGGATGGATAGGGATGGGTGGATAGAGAGGAATGGGTGGATAGAGAGGAATTGGTGGTTGGAGAGGGATGGGTGGTTGGAGAGGGATGTATGGAGAGGGATGGTGGATATGGATGAATGGAGAGGGATGGGTGGATGGAGAGGGATGGATGGATAGGATGGAGAGAGAGTGTGTATGTTTGCAATTTTTACTATTTGTGTGTTTGTATGCAAACACTATATATAGAGATATCTCTATATATAGTGTTTCTATGCAAACACGCACAGTTTGTGCTGGAGGGTTGCTGTAGGAGGGGAGCGGGCATAGAAAGTGAGCTGAGCTGTCAGTCAGCTCAGCTCCCGAACGCGCATACTGCGCACATGCGCGGTAGAGCGCTGAGTTCATTCATATGGCAGCATTCAATACTGCTCTGTGAAGAACGCGATTGGTGCAGCGTGAAGCCACGCATGCACACCAGATCGCTATAACACTTCTCTAAGAGAAGTGTCTGATTGAGCCCTGCTACTTCGTTATTTTGATTAAAAAGGGGGCGTGACCTGATGAGAAACTTGGCGCTGGAACGGAGGTAAGTTTATATCATAAAAAGGACTCGAAAATAATTTTTAATAAGGGGACCTTTCTTGCTTTTAGATGTAGACTATAGTGCTCCTTTAAGGATGCTGTTTAGTCGATGTAGCCCACGATGCAGAAAATGCAGTAAACACAAAATCAGGTTGGTAGAACAATAGGGTCAAACAAAGAATAGTCAGGAAAGCCAAAAGGTCAGGTCAGGCGGACAGGATCATAGTCGGGAATCAGGCAAGGGTCAAATACCAAGAATACAACAGGACAGGCACTGAAGGTATGAACACCACAGGAGCACAGTATAATTGAGCAATGAATCTAGGAGTAGTGGAGTTTAAATAGGAAAGATGCAGGTCTGCTTACTTAAACTTCGCCTCCTAAATATGCCCCTTTTAAATTTCCACACTCTGTCTCTTTAAGAAACCGTTGCTGTGGCGCACATGCACCTTTGGGTCCTCCTGCTTTACCCCTCTACCATGTAAGAGTGGAGAGGGATGATTCTGATCCGCAGTGCTGTTCATGGGATGCGGCACTGCTAACCCATGGAGGATTGAGGCCAGTTGGCTGCTGTGAGTGGGCTAACCGTGTGGTGCAGGAGGACATGGTGTGGGAGCATGAGGTAAGTTGGCTGAGAAACATGAGCTTGACAATGGCTGAGTCTTGCAGGGTGACTATGCCTTCTTAAGATGCAGTTGGAATAAGCTTTGTTTTTTTCAGCACTGTGATTTTTTTTTAATTTCTTGTCAGAGACAGATTGCAGGGGACATCTGTATCACTGCATGAGAAAATTGCAGGCTTCTTCCACACTGACCAGCCACAACATTAAAACCACCTGCCTCATATTGTGTATATACCCCTCCTCTGCCGAAACAGCAGACCCTTTCACTGGCGGGCCTCCATGGGTTGTATTTGTTCTTCCAGTATATCCCACAGATGCTCAATCAGATTGAGATCTGGGGAATTTGAAGGCCAACGCAACATCCTGAACTCTTTGTCATGTTCCTCAAACCATTCCTGAACAATATTTGCAGAGTGGCAGGGTGCATTATCCTGCTGAAAGAGGCCACTGCCATCGGGAAACAATATTGCCTGTTAGTGGTGTACAAAGTCTGCAACAATCTCTTGGTAGGTGATATGTGTCAAAGTAACATCCCCATGAATGCGACAAACCCAAGGTTTCCCAGAAGAACATTGCCGAAAGCATAACACTGCCTCTGTCGGTCTGCCTTCTTCTCATTGTGCATCTTGCTGCCATGCACCCAGCCATCCACCTGATCTGAAATAAAACATGATTTATTAGACCAGGCAACTTTCTTCCTTTGTTCCATGGTCCAGTGCTGACGCTCACGTTCCCATTGCATGTGCTTTTGACGGTGGGCAAGGATCATCATTGGCACTCTGACCGGTCTGCTGCTACACAACCCCACATGCAATGAGTTGTGATGGCTCCTTTCTGTCATAGTCAGCATTAAGTTTTCAGCAATTTGAGGTACACTAGCTCTTCTGTGTGTTTGGACCATGTGCATCAGTGGGCCATTAGTTGCCAATGACCCTGATGCCACTACACCGGCTGTCCTTCCTTGCACCACTTTGGTAGGCACTAACCACTGCATTCCGGAAACACTCCACAAGACTTGCTGTTTTGGAGATGCTCTGACCCAGTCATCCAGCTTTCACTATTTGGCCCTTGTCAAAGGCACTCAGAACTTTTAACATGGATATTTTTCCTGCGTCCAACGCATGAAATGCATGCCCTGCTGCCTAAACAATTCCACCCCTTGAAAGGTGCCATTGTAACAATATATTTAATGTTATTCACTACAATCGTCAGTTATTTTGATGTTGTGGGTGATCAGTGTATACACAGTGTGTTTGACTGCAGTTTAGAGCTCAAGTGAACACTATCTACACTGTGTGTGGCAGTAGTAGTGTTGCAGGCAGTGTACAGTCTCTGTTTTATCCTCATGTATAACTAAAAAACTGCTCAAAAATGTAAACAATGGGAACTAGTGTTGAGAAATGTATTACTTGAACAAAAAAACCTAAACACTGACATGGCAACTTTAAGTATTTACAGCCTTAAGGTAAATGTCCACTAGAGGCTAGCAGAGAGCTACAAATGGCTCCTACACGTACAGGGAGTAACTTTGTCTCTAAACTACTGTGTAAAATGTTTTGGTTTTTTAAATGGTCTGAAAAGGTAAAAGGACAAAGCTTTAAGAATAAATATTAGAATGCTTTACATATTTTAGGTTATTTAAAAAAAAAAAAAGAGTATTTTTCCTTCTGGATAACCATTAACACATTCCAAGCTGTAAAAAGATATCACGCTAGCTTTATTTAAAGGGTTACTCCATTCACCATGACTACTTTGGTGATTTGAAGTGGTCATCAGGGATGCACAATTTCTATCACGCCCCGGGACATGCAGTTACGGGCACTGGGCAGGTAGTTATTTTATCATTTCAGAACTGCTGCGGCTAGTAGCAGAGTGCCTTAGGGCAGAGTGACTTGTCAGGTCCTCGGTCCATGACCACTGAGAGGGGACCCGGCGGCTTGCCCTGTGTGCATCTGGGTGTGAGGCTCCTCCCATCTGCCCGGGGAGAGAGCCAGCACAGTCTGCAGTTCCACTGGGTGTGAGCTGGAGACTGTGTTGTATCTCACGATATCTGGCAAATCAGAGAGTTCCTGTGGGTTACCACGGCAACACTCTGACTTCTGGAGATCGTGAGATACAGCACAGTCTGCAGCTCTCACTCGACAGAGCTGCATATTGGAGAAATAGCCCACCGGACCACCAGGGAACCAGGACACTGCACCACCCTCAGTCAATCTGTTATCCCCTCCCTCAGTCACCCCTTACCTCAGTCACTGTCACCAGTTACCCCCTCCATCAGTCACTGTCACCCCCTCCCTCAGTCACCCCCTTCCTCGGTCTGTCACCAGTTACCCTCTCCCTCCCTTACTCTGTCACCAGACACTCACTCCCTCCCTCAGTCACTGTCACCAGTCACTCCCTCCCTCACTCAGTCACCAGTCACCCCCTCACTCACTCTGTCACCAGTCACCCCCTCCCTCAGTCACTCTATCACCAGTTGTAATGGATCACCTGGCAACCCGACTGGGTACCTCCATTGAAGGAGGCTCCTAGCGCTTCCTGAGGGCTCCAAGCACTCCAGCCGACACCATAACCACTGTAGACTCCTTCAGAGAGCAAGACAGGAACAAGCTCTTACAAGAGCTTAGTAGTGATATGGCAAGGGAGTATGATTAGCATAGCAATCCCTTGTAGCAGATTCCCCCCAATAAGAGACGGCACTCCAAATTGAGGGTGAAGTAGAACTGAAGCTTTTAATCAAACACTCTGCTTTTATGCACATTTTGCACACATAGTACTGCCCACAGGGTTTTGCAAAACAACTAATCAATACATACAAAACATTCAGACACTCACAGCCATTACACACAAAATCCTCCCCTCTGCCTGTGATACAATTACTGGCCGGAAAATCCACAATTTTACACAATATTCATAACTTTAAAAGTATACATCACATTCACATACATTTTCAGAATCAGCATACTCCAAATACAAACATATGTCAAAATCATACAAATTGGTCAGTGGGTCAAAAGTAAGTTGGAAGTTCCTTTTTGACCAACTGCAAGCATGGCTTGGGTGTGGTAAGCCAATTATCTCCAGCATACAGACAATATCTCAATTTATAACAACAGTAAAACCACATAAAAATACATAATTCCTATCATACTGAACAGAACCCCCACATTCAAACTATCCCCAGGTAGCTTGGATCTGAGCGCTCACTGTATCTGAACAGCACTCAGATCCCACGAACACAGTCAAATCGCCATGGAGTTAAACCATAGCAATGGCTGATGAGAGACAGGGGAGGGGCAAAACACCAAGTTCCAACTGGTCTGGAAGTGTCATTGGGACAACGCCCTGCTGGAGAACAATAGACAGGAAACGGGGGAGGGGCACACCTTCCCATGTTTTCAAAGGGGCAGAAAAAGTGTTTTAAAAATCCAATAAGCCCAAATAAGTTTCTTAAAGGGCAATACATCCCAGGGGCCAAAGTCACATGGCAGGAGGCTGGCAATCAGTCTTCTCCAATGCCCAGTGGTGAGGCTGGTTCCGCCACACTAGTCACCCACTCACTCTGTCTCCAGTTACCCCCTCCCTCAGTCACTCTGTCACCCACTCACTCTGTCACCAGTCACCCCCCCCACTATGTCATACCCCTCCCTCACTCTGTCACCACTCACACACTCCCTCACTCTGTCACCAGTCCCTCCCACACTCTGCCACTGCACCCCCTCCCAATGTAACCTCCTCACTCTGCCACCAGTCATACCCTCCCTTACTGCCACCCCCTCACTCTGCCACCAGTCACCCCCTCCCTTACTGCCACCCCCTCACTCTACCACCCCCTCACTCTGCATCTGTCACTCCCTCCTTCCCACACTCTGCCATCTGTCACTTCCTCTCTCCCATGCTCTGTCACTTCCTCCCTCCCACGCTCTGTCACCTGTCACCCCCTGCCTCCCACGCTCTGCCACCTGTCACCCCCTCACTCTGCCATCCCTATCCCACCCCACACAATGTGCCTTACACACTCTACATAACCTACAAACATACAAACTCAATCTTTATCCTGCACCAAACCATGTTCCCTACACACACTACATAATCTATACACATACACACTAAATCCCTTTGCCACATCCCACTGTATTCCATACACACACTACATAACCTACACAACTATACAGTACTTCATAACCCCACCTTACACTATGTTCCTTACATACACTGCATAACCTACACACTACATAGCTATTTATTAAAGCTCTTTTTAAAACAGGGCTTTAGGCACCAGAGCCTCTACAGTTTAATGTAGTGGTTCTGGAGCAAAGAGATTGACCCTGTAGGCTCAGCAATGTAAGCACTGCCCTTTCTGTAACCAAGCATGTCAATGAGGTTGCCTCGGTTAATTATAGTTCTATTTTTTGATAAAATAAGCTACAATTCTTATTTGGAAATGATTCTGTTTAAGTTCACTACCTACTTGCATTTGTTAATTGCATTTAAGTATTGTTAGGTCTGTCTCCTAAATTACTATCAAAAGAGACCTTATTTAAATATGGTTTTGATTAAAAAAAAAATTGTATCAGGAAAAGTAGATTGTCATGGAGGACAAGTAGATTGAGCAAACACTTTAGGAAGGTAGGAATCTAAATGTATGATGTTTCTGCTTGAAACACTGCACATCCAGAGATATTGCTAATTGTGTGCTGGGGGAACAGAGGCAGGAGTGAGCTGCTCCAGTCCATCTGTGCGTGCATGTCAATATGTGTGCATGTCTCAAGGTGTGTGCATGTATCAGTGTGTGCATTGTTTGTTTGTCAGGTTGTATATATCTATGTGTCAGGGTGTGCATCTGTGTGTGTGTGTGTGTGTGTGTATGTCAGTGTGTGTATCTGTTGGTGTGTGTATTTATGTCTGTGTATGTGTCAGTGTGCATATGGATTTATGTGTATGTGTCAGTGTTTTTATATGTGTGTTTCTATGTATTAATGTGTATGTTTACCTGTGTAAGTATGTACGTATGTGGCAGTGTATGTGTGTATGTGCATACATTAAAGCAATCAAATACCAACACCACATGCAAATACACTCCTGCATTCTATCACAAATATTACATACAAACACACCTCTGCATTCAAACTCCAAAATTATATTCAAAACACCCCTTCACTCAAACACCAATAATACAAACAAATGTTCACCTTCATTTAAAAACCAACACTACATAAAAACACAACCCGGCAAACATTACATAGAAGTACACCACGGCATTCCAATAGCAAGAGTACATACCAAAACACACGTACATACACACACGTACAAAAATATGCTTATATTAAAACCACAAACACTGCTCACAAATACAACTCTGCAAGGATAAGCAAATGGTTGATCCCCAGCTGGCATAGCATCATTATTATTATTATTGGTATTTATATAGCACCAACTAATTCTGCAGGGCTTTACATTATTATGAAAGGGGGGGGGGGTACATTTTACAATAAAGAGGACAATTACACAGTGACATAGGAGCAATAGGTATATGAGGACCCTGCTCAAACAAGCATCATGGATGTTGTACAACAGAGAGGGATTTGCCATTTAGGCACCTTTGCTCTAGTAGACCTTTGCTCTAGTAGGGGTGCCTAAAAGAATTTCTTGCACCAGGGACCTGTCTACGTTAGTTCCGCTACTGAGTGCCAGCACCTTTTTGCAGAAGAGATCCTCCTCTTCACCTGGTGGTTGTGGTACTACAGGCAGAGGCAGACAGAGTGGAACAGCACCCATTTGAGTTGAGCTCTTTAGAAAACCTATTATCCCATCATAGGTTCTCTGAAAAGGTTGACGCATACCTTTCAGAATCTACTTTGTCTCCTACTACAGATCATTTTACTTACTGGGAACAAAAAAATGCAGGTGTGACTGGGGCTTTAGGTTGGTTACTCAGATGTTGTCTTTCCCACCCAAGTGTCACGAGTCAGAGGGTCTTCTCGGTTAGTAGTAACATCCCCAGTGACGGCTTTCACCAGATTTGAAAATGAAATCCACATTTTTAAAAATCAACTCTAGCATGGCTACTCATCTCTACATGTTAATGCAGTGTGACTGCCACCATTTCCCTGTGCTTATGTCCAAAGGCTGCTTCTGCTGTTCTTCTTGTGAGCAGGGTGGGATTGTGGATAAAACACAAAGAAAAAAGTTTCTCTAAACAAAGGACTGAAAAGAACTGAAAATTCTTTCCATGTACATCTCTAACTGGCTAGTGAAAATTTTGACTTGGTAAGTATAACGTGGATCCTACAATTTCAGTGGCCTGACTTTAAAATCTGGCTAGTAGTGTAATACTTTAATTCATTTTAGGCTCTGCTCTTAGTCATAACTAGTTTAGTTTCAACAGTGAATAAAACATTGAAAAATTGTCTTTGACTCTTTTGTTTTTTCAAAAAAAAAAAAAAACATATTTAGAGCAGCTCAGTAACCTTAGATATGTCAAGCTGTGTTGCAAAACATTTTCATTTTAATTTTCCCTTCTAAATAGTTATTTCCTCTCTATAACGTCTTCCAGAACTTTATATGTATGGTGCTTTTTGTTTTGCCCTTTTAAACCCTTTATATTTTAAGAAACAGTCAAAGTGCAAAGTTCAATAACCAATATTAGATACTCAAACACCTAGGTGGGGTCCCATTCACCATCACCGACAAGTATACAGTATAAATAGATTTACAGCAACTGAGGAAGCCCCCAGGAGGGGGGAAACGTGTTTTGCATGGCACTTTGAAAAAACTTACCCATAGTTTGTAAGAACTTTTCAATTTTTTACACATTGCTTATTATTTTATTCATTCTTTGGCTAAAATAAAGCATTTTTTGAATACTCCTGGAGTGGTGTATACCATCAAAGAGTGGCAAATTCCACGTCATACAGAGGAGGGAGTGGGACCCTGAATAATCCCACAAAGCCCATTGTTTGAGTCAACATCCACTGGCTCCACACTTGTGACTGTGAAATATCTATTTCTATTTTATTTCATCTGCATACGCAGGCTATATTGCACTAGTGTTTGTTTTACCTGTCTTCCTATAGGACCTCATTTTGTAAACCATTGAAATATATACAAACTATATGTAAGATACTCCACCTTGTTTTTATTTATCCTTTATATTTTACACTATTTATTGGTTTGGATACAGAGACAAATTATTCCTTGCATGATTTGAAGGTGTATTGAAGCTCTCTACTCACCTCTGGTGGCTATTCCGTGCAATATATTGATGTAGTTTAGAATGTCTAGTTTAAAAATGTTATTTAAATACTAACCTTAAAAAGTTAAAATGTCACTAAGAGCAACATTAATGTTCCCAAATGAAATAGAAGCTGTGATGTTCTGTTAGGGGGTGGTTGTTTACAGGGCCGGATTAACATAGGGGCTGATGGAGCTGCAGCTCCAGGCCCAGGCCCAGGCCCAGGCCCATGGAATAGGCCCATTGATGTATAAAAAAAAAAAAAAATTGTTTTTTTTTACATTTTATTTTTCCCACACACTACTCTTAGGGATTCCACCTGGCTTTTATTTTATTGGCACAGCCAGTATTTGAGGCTGCCTGGCTGGTGCCAATATTGCAGTGATACTGACAATGCAAATGCTGGTATTTTTCTCAGTATAAACAAGAGATTACTCTGCAATACCAGCACTGGCCAGTAGGGGTCACTGTGTATGGAGAGAGGCAGGGATAGGAAGTTCCAGCATATCCCTCCCTACCTCTCTCTACTCACTGATCTGCAGGGGTGCAGCTAGAGAGAGTCCAGACAGCAACTCCCACCCTGCAGAGACAGCCTACAGCTCAGGGAAGTAAGGGATGGGGAAAGGCTGCAAGGAGACATACACTGAGACACTAAGGGGCACTGGGAGGCATTATGGCAGACACTGGGACACTAAGGGACATTGGGAGACGTTATGGCAGACACTGAGACACTAAGGGACATTGGGAGACGTTATGGCAGACACTGAGACACTAAGGGACATTGGGAGACATTATGGCAGACACTGAGACACTAAGGGACACTGGGAGACGTTATGGCAGACACTGAGACACTAAGGGACACTGGGAGACATTATGGCAGACACTGAGACACTAAGGACATTGGGAGACATTATGGCAGACACTGAGACACTAAGGGACACTGGGAGACATTATGGCAGACACTGAGACACTAAGGGACACTGGGAGACATTATGGCAGACACTGAGACACTAAGGGACATTGGGAGACATTATGACACAGACACATGGGGACACAGTGTCCCCATGTCTCCCAGCCAGTGTCCCTGGTGTCTCAGTGCCCCCAGTCTGCCAGTGTCTCACTGTCCCCATGTCTCCTAGTGCCTCCATGTCTCCCAGTGCCCCCATGTCTCAATGTCCCCATGTCTCCCAGTCAGTGTCTCTAGTGTCTGTGTCCTTGGTGTCTATGTCCCCATGTCTTCCAGTGTCCCCATGCGTCCCAGCCAGAGTCCCCTAGTCTCCCAGTGTCACTGGTGTCTCAGTGTCCCTAGGTCTCCCTGTGTCCCCAGGTTTTCCCATCTTCCTAGTGACATGGGGACCCTGGGATACATGGGGACACAGGGAGACATGGGGCAGTGAGACACTGTGATACATAGGATCACTGGGAGACCTGGGGACACGACACTAGGAGACACTGGGAAACATCGGGCACTGAGACACTGATACATAGGAACACTGAGACCTGGAGTAATCGACACATGGGGGCACTGGGAGACATGGGGCCACTGGGAGGAATCCATCTATACAGCAGAATCAAACTAAGTAGTTTTTTGGTGATTTTACAGCATTTCTCTTATATCACTCCTTGTGATTTACATCATGTGATGTCACCCATACATATTTAATTATGCAAATTAGCAAGGCCGGTATGTTTTTCCAAGAAAGGTGGCAACCCTAACTACTTTTCACATACTCTTACTTAAGTATGGAAACTTAAGAGGGATGTATGGGAACACAACTTGTGTGGACTGGCTGACAATGAATATAGTTAAAGGGACACTAGAGTCACCAGAAGAACTACAGCTTATTGAATTTGTTCTGGTGAGTAGAATCATTACCGTCATGCTTTTTGCTGTAAACACTGTCTTTTCAGAGAAAATGCAGTCTTTACATTACATTATTCAATTCATCTCTCTGAGGAGATGCTGATTGGCCAGGGCTGTGTTTGAATCATGCTGGCTCTGCCCCTGATCTGCCTCTTTGTCAGTCTCAGCCAATCCTATGGGGAAGCACTGTGATTAGATTAGGCCATCACTTCTAATGATGTCAGCAGACTGCTTGTTTTTCTGAGTCTAACAGCATGCAGAGTTACAGCTTCAGGCTTGAATACAGTAAGATTTTGCTATATTTATGGAGGTATGAGGGGCCCAGGGGGGGCTAGATGGTGGTGTTAACACTATAGGGTCATGAATTCATGTTTGTGTTCCTGACCCTATAGTGATCCTTTAAGGTAATGCTGACTTTGGTCTCTCTAACACTGTGGCATGTTCCCTTTCTTCTACACTCACTACATACAGCTTTTCTCTGTCCCAGACTATATACCATGAGCTTCTGCTTGCTAGTAAGAAGGTAAGGAGACAAGTGGACCAGCGAGTGCTAGGGGACAGTCCTTAGAAAGCATTGAGCGAGCACATCATTAGACGCATTTATGCCAAGCTCAGGGTGCTGTCTGCATAGTATGCCCTTTGTTGGCCAGCTGCATGATTGGCAGGCAGTCTGACATGCATTCATACCAGGCTGGCCTTCTAATTCTTTGGGCAGACATATCCTCTTTTTGGGCATGTTCGCCCCTTTTGGCAGGTTACGTGATTTGTGTCAGTGGCACACCCTTTTACCCCGCCCATTGACTTCCTGCTTGACTGGACACTGCTGTTAGGGGTTATGGATTTACTTAAAAGATGAAAACATAAATTAGAGAGAGATTAGCCTAGGGTATGTGTTTTAATATAGCTGCTGTTTTCTTTCTCTCCAGCACCATCTCCATCAGATACATGACGCTTGGGAGTGTTTTACTGTTTTTGGTCGATATGATTCTGTAATTAGGCCCGTCATAATTGTCAGCACCAGGCCCACTGGGCTCTTAATCTGGCCCTGGTTGTTTAGATTGTTTAGTTTTAGGGTGTACCTGCCTTAAAGGAACACTGTATCATTAGGAATGTAAACACCTATTCCTAATGCTATTGTGTAGTATTCCATACTTAGATTCAGGTACCCTTGCCTCATTTTGACCATTTAATACAAATACAGAGAAAATATATATTTTGTCCAGCTCTGAGACTTACTTGGTGCTGCCACCTGCTTCTCCTTCTGCGACGCTATCCTGGAAACGTTGCGTCCACAAAGAGTGTCCTTCCCAATGCTTTTCATTAAGGAGCATTGGGGATTAGATGCAAGTGTGTGCAAGCACCAATTCAATTAAATGCTTCCCTGTGAGCTGTATTTGAGGCGTTGCAGCAAAAAGTCTACTGGAGACGCATTTAACATTGTCATATTTACTAAAGGGCAATGTTTTAGATTGAAGTGATAAAACTAAAGGGTCACTGCACCCAGACTTCAACCTTTAAGACAAAGTTATCTGGGTGCCTTTCGTGGTCTTTTAAGAATGCTCTTGGTTCTCCTATTGCTGTGGCAGGGTTTGATGCCCAAATGTAAACTTTAACCTTTTAAATATACACCAAGGGTGCTTGGATGGGTTTTAGGCTGTGTTTTATTCATTTTGTAAAACCCCCAGTGCTTTTAGACTATTATTGCCTTTCCAGCAATGAAATTGATATTGGGGATGCAAAACTGTAAATTCAGTGTGATTGGATAGGGGAGTAGCTATGGTGCTGGGGAAAGGCCCAGTTTTTATCATATGATTCCAATACAGTTTGAACATTGGGGCAGTCAACTTAGACCCTTTGGCCTACAGATCTTGTGCTGTACAATAAAGCACTATCAAACTGTGGAAATGCTAAATTAAAGGATCACTATAGTGTCATCCTTTTTCCTGATACTATGTCATCCTTGGGGACCCTCACCCTCAGGGTCCCCCTCCCGTAGCGCTGAAGGGGATAAAACCCCTTCAGCAGCTTACCTTAATCCAGCGCTGGGCTTCCTCGGTGCTGGTGACCTCTCCTCCCCCTCCGAAGTCAGCTCCCGAGTGGAGCGGAATGCGCATGCGCGGCAGGAGGAATGCGCATGCGCGAAAAGCGCATGCGCGCGCATTCTAACAGTCCATAGGAAAGCAAAGAGAGACACTAGAGGTTGGATTAACCCTACAATGTAAACATAGCAGAGTCTCTGAAACTACTATGTTTACATGTGAAGGGTTAAAACCTGAGGGACCTGGTGGCACCCAGACCACATCATTGAGCCTTTTAGGGCTGCTGTCTTTTTACAATTATTTGGTTACTTAGTGCTGACCCATTTGTGTATATTTTATCTGGTTAGCTTAGTATGCCAAGGTTTTACCTGGATTCTCCTACAATGTTTATATGCAGGAGATACCGTGTTTTCGAGTAGAACCATGAGGATTAAAAAAAAAAAAAATTACTGACTTTATCATCTGCAAATATAAGATTTTTTCGATGTGTCAGACATGTCCTGCTTCCAGGTACTACATGTGGTGTATTCAGATATTTCATTTTTCATTGGCACTCCACTGCTCTAAAAGGGGTTATTTACATATCTATAACATTTCCATCAGCTTGAAAAATACTGGCTACTCTTCTTTTGACAATGTCAGCCTTCTTTATTTATTGCACTACGGACATGTTTGAACATCAAATGTAAGAACAAGAGGATTAATATTTAGTTTGCACTCACTTCATACACATTCCAAACTTTCACCTCTATTGGATACAAATCCCTTGATGTTGGGTGTTTTTGTAAGCATTGATTGAACTTACACATGAACCTGTGATAGTATACTGCAGTGTTTCTTGGACCCCAGTATGAAAAGTGCTCTAGTTTATGTACTAAGTCACTTTACTAAAAAAAATTCTCCTCCTTTCCATCAACGGTCTGTCCAACATAGACTGAGATCATGACCTTGTTATCTCCTGATGTCCACCAATGTCATCTGGTGTCATTTTAGCATAGTCATTGTTCATTTATCTTATGTCTGCAGGTCTAAACCAGGCTTTAAAATGCAGAACTTGCCCAAAAATGTTACCCTACGAGGAAAGGAGCATGACATTTGATGTAATTTGCATATGGGGAGTATTTTATTATCTAGGATATACTTAACAGACAAACATATTCAATAAAATAACATACAAAATACTCGCTTTAACCTAGGAGAGTCCATCTTTTCCAGTCCAGCTGCTCTTGGGTTCCATTTCTCACAGTTCTCTGCCAGCTGTTGTGAATTGTAAACCAGAGACAGCTGAGTGACCTGTGCTGTAGTAAGGTATGAATACAACAAAGCACCAACATGTTGTGAAAATAATGTTGATACTCACACCTTGTCTGTTCAATTGCAATGCATTTTAATAAATGGATGAAAGTTAAACTAGTTTCTTCTAAACCAGATGACCTCACCACTTTTAACTTTTTAATTATTTTAAAGATATTAATATATTTGATGAATGCATTTCATACAGAATATGAACTCACTCACTAAACACCAGCTTCAACGCTCACATAATTAAATTTTTTTATAAACAGCTAACTTGGGCAAAATAATGGGAATTTAGTTACAGTATATGATCATGTATTGCATAAGCCCACCAAATCCCAACATACCTCAATTTTGGCAAGTCTTATTCTATCAATGCCTGCTCTTATGAAATTAACCCGTTTGCTTGGGAAATCCATAGCAGTGCAAGGTTAAATAAGGACCTGGAATGAGGCACATTCTATGTGTTGGCTGTGTGTGATATTTGTAATGGGTGTATTAACAGTGTGTGATATGCGTGTATTGGTTGTATGTGATATTTGTGCTGAGTTTATTGGATGTGTGTGATGGGTATTTAATTCATTAAAGACATTCATTTAGGCCTGTGTGTGAATGCAGGTGTATATTTTTGCAGAGTTATGTGCACACAGTCCCACAGTCAGATGCACACAGTTATACATATACACTGTCAAATCCACCACATGCACATAGTTGCAGGCAGGTAGTCACATACACAGGATCAGACAGAAACACACAGGTACAGGCAGTAACACACATATATGGTTACAGGTAGATAAACACTCTCTCACACAATTACTGGCAGACAGCCACACACACACACACACACTCACACACACACACACACACAGGCAGACAGCCACACACACACACAGTTTTACACACATACACACACACACAGCCACACATACAGTCTTACACACACATACTTACACGCAGACAGCCACATACACACAGGCAGTTAGCCACACACAGGCAGCCACACACATACACACACACACACACACACACACAGGAAGACAGCCACACAGACAGCCACACACATACACACAGGCAGATAGACACACACACACAGAGGCAGACAGCCATACACACACAGGAAGACATCCACACACACACACAGAGACAGACAGTCACACGCAGGCAGACAGCCACACACACACACAGGCAGATGGCCACACAAACACACACAGGCAGACAGTCACACACACACAGGCAGACAGTCACACACACAGGCAGACAGTCACACACACACACACACACACACACACACACACAGTCACACACACACAGCAGTCATACACACAGACACACAGGCAGACAGTGATACACACACACACACAGGCAGACAGTCATATACACACACAGACAGTCACACACACACACACACACACACACACACACACACACAGGCAGACAGTCACACACACACAGGCAGACAGTGACACACACAGACACACACACAGGCAGGCAGTCATACACACACACACACACACAGGCAGACAGTCACACACACAGACACACACACAAGCAGACAGTCACACACACACACACACACACACAGGCAGACAGACACAAACACACACACAGGCAGACAGTCACACTCACACTGACAATCACACATAGTTACCTCTGTTCATTGTGGAGGCAGTGCAGCTCCTGGAGACTGTTTGTTGGGGAAGCCCCATAGTTTCTGGAATAAATGCTGTTCTTTCCAACCTTTCAGAGCATCTAGACATTTTATTACAGCCTTCAGTTAAAATCATGAAGTCATATCTTAAAGACTCCATGACTCTTCTCCGTTTTTAAAATAATTTTATCTGGCACGCTGATTACATTTTAGTCACTTGTGATGTTCAATCTCTATATAAAATTATTCTCCACAATAAAGGTTGTGATGCCGTTTTTAAAATGTTACAAGCAGAAAAAACTATCCCAGACGAACAAATTAATTTTATTATACAAGGTATCCAAATCATTTAAAAAAATACTTAATTTTGGTTTTTAGATTTATTTTACATTCAAAAACAAGGTACAGCTATTGGGACCAGGTGTGCCCCTAGCTATGCTAACTTCTTTATGGCCGAATGGGAATCAGAAGCCATCTGGGGGGAGCATGCTTGGAGAGCAAACCTGGTCTCCTATTTTAGATATATAGATGATCTCTTTTTTATTTGGAAAGATTCTGAAAATTATTTAAACTCTTTTTTAAACCATCTTAACACAAACAACAATGGTATAATTTTAACTTCAGAATTAAGCAAGAATTTTATAAAATTTTTTGGCTTACAAATGTTTATATAAAATGTTATTATTTATACGAAAACTTTTTTAAAAAGGTCTGTACCTCAGATATGTACCATCGTATAATGATTACCTGTCCACTAACTTAAATGCCCTGCATACTCATGTCTTATTAATCCTGAAACAGTATACGAATCCCCTTGATGTATAATGAAGGCGAATGTGCCTGCCAATGTCTAGCCTGAACAAACTGACGTACACTGTTGCAGCGCACTAAGCGCCTCGCAACTATATCAAATATTAGAATAAGCACCATTCCTTAGGAAAGTCCCGAACCAGGACTGAAACATTGAAGCTACTCAGCATCACATTTCTACTTTTATGTAAATATTCAAAGTTAAGTTTTAGGAAGACAATGAGTGCGGACCATTACTTTGATTTTTGTATATTGATGACCTTGGTCTGGCACCCGGTGTTCAAAGCAACATTACAATACAGCCTGAAGTGCAAGGAAACTTCCATTAGAGAACTGAAACGTTGATCTACTACTGGCAGATACCTGAATAAAAGCTAAGTTTTTTCACAATATATTTCTTTGAAGTCTTTGGAGTGCTATCATTACTACATTTCTATTATTTGGCTGTTAAGCACCGGGCTCTAACTCCCTATCCTGGAGTGCAAGCAATTGGAACTTTATATATATATATATACATATATATATATATTTATAATTTTATATTATATTTATAATTTTATATTATATTTAGAATTTTATATATATATATATATATATAAATATATAAAATTAACGTTATTCTAAGTGTATTTTAATATTAATATATATAATTCTATAGATTAACATACACATTTAATAATGATTTATGTATGTGTATATAAAAGTACTTAGATCATATATATATGTAAATATATAAATGAGGAAAGATGCCGGCACTCCAAGGATTTATCATTCAGAAGTTCTTCTTTTATTTAAGAAAAAAAATAATCGACGTTTCAGCTCCTCTAAGGAGCTTTCATCAGGACACATCTTTCCTCATTTATGTTCCAGCAACCAAAGCACCAGGTACTTTGGATTTTTTGGTTGGATTGAAGGGGTTTTTCACCTTTATGTAAATATTTATATATATGATCTAAGTACTTTTATTTAATTTAAAAACTATTTTACAACTTTTACTAACTTTTAAAAGCTTTTGTATAGGCATTAGGGAGACTGCCTGAGAGCTCAGGCAGGCCCCCTGCAGGCCCTGCACAAGCCGGCTATTCCAGCCATGTGATAGCAAGGACCCCGCAATAACATGGCATGGGAGGGTGATCAGGTAAGTGGGGAATTACTATGAGATGTACCAGATACATCTGAGGTCATTAACAGACGGTTTTTGTGTCCGAGTCCAGGAATGGGTTAAACAACTGTCATTTGATCATTATTGAAAATAAAAAAATATTATAATATTATACATATATCAGAGTAATCTCAATCCATAACTCCTCACAGTTTTGTATGTAAGGTCAAAAGAACTGAGGCACCATAACCACTAAAGCTCACTGTAGGTTTTCCGTACTCCCCCTCCTACTCTAATGCCGATGGAGGGCTAGAAGCGTACCTCATTGAGAGCAGAACTTAGCTCATTGGCTAAGAATGGTCAGCTGACATTGCAGGACTTAGTTCAGGAGAGCTAACAAATGACATACAAAACTGTGAGGAGTTATGGATCATGACTACTCTTTTTCATCCTTTTCCAAGTCCAACACTGCAAATTGCAATCCAGCACCTGTTACCTATCTGATATAGTATTTGATGTTATAATATTTTTAATTTTCAAGGGGTAACCCAGCACTGAAAAAAAAGTATGCCTCTTTTACCAGGGCGAAACGCATTGATGGTGCTGGCAGCATTTTAGCCTAATATCTCAAGGAGTCCGGACGTTATTACAGCGGGAGCAGGGTTTGGCGTTTTTCAGAGGGGCAAGCTATCTCACCCGGCTCAAGTGCACTGAGCGGACCGCTACAGAGCGGTAACCCCGAACTGTTTTCCTACATTTTACACCGTACTTTATGTGTTATTAGTGCTACTTGGAGACAAGCTCCACCACATTTTCCTGTAAGAGTTTTCAGAAAGGCGTTCTAAGGAGATTTTAATTAATAAACTGTATCACGCTATGTTCCCATCTCTCTCTTATTTTTAGGTGGATTCTATGTAACAGATTGGATACAGAGGTGATCATATCAAGAGCTGGATACTATTGCAAATAAAATGTTACAGCCTACATATTTTCCCTTGACACCTGATAACTTTTGGTAAGAGTTTTTATGTACTTTTTTATATATATTTTTGGTGTTATTACACCTGAATACTGTTTTGGGATGTATTGACTAAGTGCTTACACCTTTTCCAAATTTATTTCAAAACATTTTTTTTTAAATCACAAACAGGGTGGAGGATGACCAGTATTTTACTAGGGACATGGACATTACTGGGGACATTTTTTTTAACTCTTTGCTAGGAAAACATTTCTCTGTTAAACAATGTATATATTTGCAATATAACCCTTTGCATGCCAGATGCACCGTGGATTCCTCATTCATTTGGAACTCACAAGGTTAACTGGATATTCTGGCTCTTAAACATTTTTTAATTAAATTTTATTAGTCTATTGTAGTTACTGGTATAAATACAGAATGCCGCCAGTAACCTAAGCCAGCATTAGACACACACCTATTCAGCACGAGATAAGAAAATCTCTATTAACACTCTTTAATGGTCAGAGCAGATAAGACTGTAAGGGCGGGAAGGGACGTTCGGTGAGACACTCCTTTTTCATAATACAAACTTATTTTGAAATGACCAAATGAAGTAGTCTGCAGATACTGACACAGGGGAGAGTGAAGAGGTACACAAAATATGGATAACGTTGAAAGAGATCATCAATATACAGAAGTGACAGAAAATATTGCTCCTGCACACGAACAGCACGGAGTGACTCATGATGTGCCAGGTAAGTGAGTCTAGAGGCCTTAAAAGCCTTTTAACATGACCTACCAGTACATATGTACTGATCACTCTAGAACCTTTCCAGACCTTATGTCCGGTCCTATGGGTTTGAATTCATTACTTTGGTATTTAGAATTTCCTGGAAATATTAACTGTGGAAAGACATTCTCACTAAAGTTAAAATATAACCTAAAAATGTTCTGTGACATTCTTTTTGTCTACAACCAAAAATTCTGTGGCTTGGTGATCAATTTTTGCAAAGTTAACTATGGTGATTACAGTTTCCTCCATCAACATTGTTTGTTCTCTTCAGTAAAGTCTCTCTCGTTGTATCATAGCAAGGATTACCTATATAAAATAAAATTGCCTCTGCTATCTGAACTGCGTAGAAAGCACAGCCATTTTAACTCTGTAATTTGCCAGTGCTGAATTAGGGGCCTGGGGCTGAAAATAACTGTAGGCCTATATGAAATTTGAACGTGTCATGAGCCTGACCTCCATCTTTGACTAGACTTTGCAGCTGTGTAATAAACCCCCCTCAAGTGTATTTTACAAACTGGAAATTTTAAGCCATATTCACAGGCAGCCTGAGGCACAGAGAAATCTGCTGGGGGAGCAGGTGGTAAACAGGGTGACTGCATGAGAAGAGATAGGCCCATCATATTGCCGATCAGTATCTACAGTGCCAAAGCTACTTGTGACATTCTATGCATTATCGATGGTGACTCTTGTTGCCCAACCAGGGTATGAACACTATGTGTGATTCCCTGGCTACATGCTATGAATATGGCACTGAGCACTTAAGAGAAGCAGCACATAGATATAAATAAATTAAGAGTGAAAAAATAGTGCCCGCTTGGGCCTGTTGCTATATGTGGTTCTGGAGCATCTGCCATTACCATTATTGTTAGTGCTAAGTTGCTGTTTGCGATTATTCATCATTATTCACCTAAGTTTTTTTTCAATTTCTTTCTTTTTTTTGTAAATCATTTTATATATATATATATATATATATATATATATATATATATATATATATATTGTATTGTATTTTGTATATATTGGCCCCAGTGGCACGCTATAATGTATGCAAGTTCAGCCCTCTTTCATTTTCATTTATATATACACACATACTCCAGCACAGTTACTCACTCATTAAACACCAGCTTTAATGCTCACAAAATGTAATAGTTATGTTTTTTTTTTTAAAACACCTCACCTAGGCAAAAGTAATGAGGATTTAGTTACAGTAGGAACATACATTGCATAAGCCTGCAATAACGTCAATGTACCCCATTTTTGGTAGGTCCTATCCTAGCAACCTTATACCTGCTCTTATGAGATTAATCCACTTACTTTGGCACCTGTGACAGGGAGGGGTGCAAAGCTAGGGAGTTGGTCTGGACTTCCAAATATAGATACATATCAAACCAGGAAGGCTGCACTCTCCTAAACATGTATACATTATAAGTGTTCTGCTGGAGGGGAGTTAATTCAACATACAGAATCCAGTGCTCTCACAACGTGTCAATAGTTGTTTTTTTGTTTTTTTTAAACATTTGACTTCGGCAAAAATAATGGGGATTTAGTTACAGTATACAGTAAACATTGCATGTATGCATAACTCCCAATATTTAAAAGAGACAAAGAGGGACACTTTAATTGCAGGAGTGTGATTGAGTGTAGCCAGGGGCGGGCTGTTTTGAGACATTTTAGTTGACTTTTTAATAACAATTTATGCAACTAAAATGTATTTTAGAACAAGAACAATGTATCTTATTTACACAGACTGATTTCTAAACATTTATTGTAGCTTAAAGACACATTACTGTGAGTATTATTGCTGTGAAGCTCTGTTATACACTCAGACACAATAATATGAAACTCCTAAAAAAAAAAGAGGGACATTAGGGAAGAAAAGAGGGACAGGGTGATTTGGGTCCAAATAGTGACTGTCCTTCCTAAATAGGGACACTTGGGAGGTATGTTATGAATGTTGTTACAAACTGCCTTTTGTAACTGGTTTTTCGTGTGACAAATTGCCCTGCTTCCCTGGGTTATGGAGAAGCCTGTTGGCCAGTCTCCTACCATGTGGCTATGACTCCAAGATGTATTTGGCTTTAAAGCCCATATTCTACCTTCAGACAGACTATTTATGTAGGTTTCTTTATTTCTCTTATGTTTTAGTCACCCTGTACCCATTATAGGTGCAGGGTGTGTGTAATGTAATTGTTTATAATGTGTGTGTGTACTGTGAAATGTATTGCCTGCTCTCCTGTACTGCTGAGGTTTGCTACCAACTAGGTGAATTTGGCTATGGAGCTTGTCTAGTGCCCTATAGCAACCGCAATATGCACTACCTGAATAGCAAGACTGGTTCATTTGCATATTCAGGTAGATTTGCATATTGCTAATTCAGGCACGTGAGATATTTTCTGTTAATTATTGTCTCCCCTCCCCTTTAAAAATAGGTTTTCACAGCAATGTTAATGTAATGACCATATGGGCTAGTCCCAAGTAAAATAAAGTTTTAGTCAGTTCTTCTTGACCCTCAACACGTAGTCTTGTCTTGTGATTGGAGGGGACAGCTATACTCACACTGGGGATTGCTATGCTCTGCATACTCCCCTGAGCTTTAATCACTTAGCTCTTTTAAGAGCTTGTTTCTGATACGCTCTCCTGGAGGAGAGGTCTTCCCCACATAGTCCTGGAGGACAGAAGCTGATCACGAGCGGTGCTCGTGGTCCTCGGCGCAAGCTAGGAAGCGTCCATCAACGGAGGGTACTCGGTTGGAGTACGGGGAGCCCTGTTACAAATGTGTATATATGCTATACATCAGGCTTCCCCAAACTCCGGCCCTCCAGATGTTGCTGAACCACAACTCCCATGATTCTCAGCCTATCTATTTCATTCATAGAATCATGGGAGTTGTAGTTCAGCAACATCTGAAGGGCCAGAGTTTGGGAAAGCTTGCTATACATAGTATAGGTAAGAGCATTTGTTGCAGGACACTGACATATGGCCAATATGTGCACACAGGATTATTCACTGTCAGGATTTCAAAGTAAATGCAAAGTGAATAACCTTTCGCTCAGAATATCCAATTTGGAAACATTATCCACATGTGCTACGTTTTCAGTTTAGCTATTTTGGCCTTCAATTTTAAATTCACTTTATTTCAATACACACTTTATTGGATAAGCCCGCGTGCAACTATTGATCATATGTCAGTACCAAACAACAAATGCTCTAGTAAATTAGTAAAATCAGCTTTTTTTTTAACACTGGGAGCAACAGATAAGCACTGTAGTGCACAGCTAGACATATTCAATGGAAATGTACAGAATTCACAGTAAAAGGCAATTCTCGCAGTACGATATTTATCAACAGACTAAGCACAACATCAAACTAAACAATATTAATACAGAGCAGGCAATCTAGATCTATCATTTGTTTTAACTGTGTGTACCTATATGTTTTTTTTAGATTTGTACTAACTATCTGGTTATTATGGCTTGCACTTCTCCAACCATTACTAACATGCATTTTAGTACAGAGCGTGCATGGTGCTGAGCCGGTATCACTTTTCTGGCACAGACGAACACATGTGTTTGTATAAGATAATCTGAGTTTGCTGTCACTGAGCACACTGAGTAGGAACACAGAAATGCTTTCATACAGTACTATCAGCTTGTTATCATTCTGGATGTACTGTGTCAATTTGCTGGCAGTGTTAGGAGAGCACAAACAAATTGCCCAAGGTTTCACCAGTAACATTTTACTTTAGATATATGCTGAATGTTCTTTTCTAAATCTATTCTTAAAATGTTACAGTTTATTCATTAATTAATTGTAGTGAATTGAAAACATGATGATACAATTTAGGCCAAAGTAGCTCAACTGAAAAAAACAATAGCCATAGCTTGACTATTTAGCCTGAATGTGGCGGAAGTTATGGAAGAAGGTAAACAAGTGCAGGTTAATATTTATAGAAGAAGAACGATGAATGGAAGGAGTGGAGTGGTTGGAATTAGATATACCTAACAATATATATCTTCTCATTTCATAGCGTATAAATAAAAGTATCCTCTTTCTATACGTGTAAAGCAAGCATGTCAAACTCGCGGGCCGCTAGCGTCCCACAAGGACCATCTTTGCGGCCCAGCGAGCTGTAAGTGCATGCTAAGTGTTAAAGCGGAGTAGGCACCTGCTTTCCCCAAATTGCAGGTGCCTACTCTGGTAACCATTACCCGGCCGGGGAGGAGGGCCAGCGAGGGAGCTCAGTGTTCCTGCTCCTCACTGCTCCCTCGCGCGCGCCGTCTGTAGTGAAGCCAGGCGCCGGAATATGACGGAATATGGCATCACTAAACCGAGCAGTGAGGAGCAGATAGAAGGACCTCAGGGAGATGCCCCACATCGGCTCCAAAAGGTAGGGAGCAATAAAGAAAAGTATGTGTGTGTAAGTGTTTGTCTGTGAGTATGAGTGTGTATCTGTCTGTGAGTATGTGTGTGTCTGTCAGTGTGTGTGTTTTGTGTGTCTGTCTGTGAGTATGTGTGTGTCTGTCTGTGAGTATGTGTGTGTGTCTGTGAGTGTGTCTGTGTGTGTATGTCTGTCAGTGAGTATGTGTGTGTTTCTGTCAGTATGTGCAGGGCCGGACTGGCCTACCGGGATACCGGGAAATTTCCCGGTAGGCCGCCAGCCCTGGGGCCGCTTTGAGATGTGGCTGCACTCAGCCACAAGACAGGAAAAAAAATGTTTTCTATGTTAGTCTATGCGGCCGCGCGATCCGCGCCGGCCGCTGCTGCTTGCTGAGCGAGCGCACAAATACTTCCTGTCAGCCGCCGGATGTGACGTCATGTCATCATATGCCGCTCACATGCGGCTGCGCGGCGGCATCTCTTCCCTCCTGCACCCTTGAGCTGTTGTAAAGGTAAGAATAAAGGGGCTTGGGGGACCTATTGTATTGTGTATTGCATTTGGGGGGAGGTGGGGTCAGTCAGTCGTATATTAGGGAACGGGGTCAGTAATGTATGAGGGGAGGGGGTCAGTAATGTATTAGGGGAGTAGTATATTAGGGGAGGGGGGTCAGTAGTATATTAGGGGTGGGGTCAGTAATATATTAGGGAGGAGGAGGTCAGTAGTATATTAGGGTGGGGGTCAGTAATATATTATGGGAGGGGTCAGTAATGTATTAGGGAGGGAGGGGGTCAGTAGTGTATTAGGGGAGGGGGGTGAGTAATGTATTAGGGGAGGGGGGTCAGTAATGTATTAGGGGAGGGGGGTCAGTAGTGTATTAGGGGAAGGGAGGGGGGTCAGTAGTGTCATGGTGTGTGTGTCTGTCATGGTGTGTGTCTATCTGTGTCTTGGTGTGTGTGTGTCTGTGTCATGGTGTGTCTGTCATGGAGTGTGTGTATCTGTCTGTGTCATGGAGTGTGTGTCTGTCTATCTGTGTCATGGTGTGGGTGTCTGTTTGTGTAATGGCGTGTGTGTCAGTGTCATGGTTTGTCTTGGTCATGGTGTGTGTGTGTGTGTCTGTCAAGGTGCGTGTGTGTGTCTGTTAAGGTGTGTGTGTGTGTGTCTATCATGATATGTGTGTGTGTCTGTTGTGGGGTGTGTGTGTCTGTCGTGGGGTGTGTGTGTGTCTGTGTCTGTCATGGTGTATGTGTGTGTGTGTGTGTGTGTGTTTGAAAATAGTGTTACTCACCTTTTTGTGATACAATATTCAAAAGGGGGAAAAGAGACACAAAAGTGTAAGATACAAAAAAGGGGCAAATAATATGGATGTGTGTCTGTCTATCTGTGTCATGGTGTGGGTGTCTGTTTGTGTAATGGCGTGTGTGTCAGTGTCATGGTTTGTCTTTGTCATGGTGTGTGTGTGTGTGTCTGTCAAGGTGTGTGTGTGTGTCTGTCAAGGTGTGTGTGTGTGTATGTTAAGGTGTGTGTGTGTGTCTGTCATGGTATGTGTGTATCTGTCAAGGTGTGTGTGTGTGTCTGTCATGGTATGTGTGTATCTGTCAAGGTGTGTGTGTGTATCTGTCAAGGTGTGTGTCTATCATGATATGTGTGTGTGTCTGTTGTGGGGTGTGTGTGTCTGTCGTGGGGTGTGTGTGTGTCTGTGTCTGTCATGGTGTATGTGTGTGTCTGTGTGTGTTTGAAAATAGTGTTACTCACCTTTTTGTTTTTCCACGCCATGCTGGTCTCCCCTCGACTGGCCCTGCCCTGCCTCTATGGCTGATGTCATCAAGCTTTGTGATCTCAGCCAATCCAATGCTTTGCCATAGGATTGGCTGCAAAACGCTACACCAATCAGCATCTCCTCATAGAGATGCATTGAATCAATGTATCTCTATGGGGAACGTTCAGCGCCTCCAGAGCATGAAGGCCCTGCATGTAGGTGCTGCACACTGTGCAGCACTGACACAGGAAGCACCTCTAGTTACCGTCTGAGTGACTGTCACTAGAGGTGTCACTAGGAAGCAATGTAAACACTGCCTTTTCTCTGAAAAGTCAGTGTTTACATTGAAAAGCCTGCAGGGACAGGCTATAGACAACCGAACAACTACACCTTTTTGTTTTTCCACGCCATGCTGGTCTCCCCTCGACTGGCCCTGCCCTGCCTCTATGGCTGATGTCATCAAGCTTTGTGATCTCAGCCAATCCAATGCTTTGCCATAGGATTGGCTGCAAAACGCTACACCAATCAGCATCTCCTCATAGAGATGCATTGAATCAATGTATCTCTATGGGGAACGTTCAGCGCCTCCAGAGCATGAAAGCCCTGCATGTAGGTGCTGCACACTGTGCAGCACTGACACAGGAAGCACCTCTAGTTACCGTCTGAGTGACTGTCACTAGAGGTGTCACTAGGAAGCAATGTAAACACTGCCTTTTCTCTGAAAAGTCAGTGTTTACATTGAAAAGCCTGCAGGGACAGGCTATAGACAACCGAACCACTACATTAAGCTGTGTGTGTGTGTGTGTGTGTGTGTATGCGCCTGCTAGTGAGTGAGCTTGCTTGCATGTGTGTGTGCGACTGCTAGTGAGTGAGCTTGTGTTTTTATGTCAATGAGCTTATGTATATCAGTGAGATTGTTTGTCTATGAGGCTGTGTATCAATGAGCTTGTGTGTGTCAATGAGATTGTCTGTGTCTGCATGTGAGTATGCTTACTGTATAATTAAACATTTTACTCTGAAAGGACCAATATTTTATATTAGAAAAAGCAATATATATATATATATTACTCAATCATCTGGGGTGGCAAGACATTGCCTTACATATTACATGTGACAATATATGGCGCAATGACTTATGGGGCTGGCATAGATTTATTTCCAGGGCTGTTTTGTATCCCCAGTCCGGCCCTGAGTATGTGTGTGTGTCTGTCAGTGTGTGTGTGTGTGTGTGTGTGTCAGCGGGAGGATCAGATTTGGCACAGGGTGGTAGAGGGGGGTGCTGTGGTTTAGTAGGGGGGGGCTGGGATTTAGTAGAGGGGGGTGCTGTGGTTTAGTAGAGGGGGATGCTGAGGGCTTTTTTTATAATGTATTTTTTTTTTAAATAAACCTACGTTTCTATGAAAATTTAAGAGTTTTTTTCTGTGCCAAAAGTAGAAAAGATTGTAGACATAGGAGGGATAATGTCTGAAGGAAGAGAGTGAACAAAAATAATATTATGTTTACCAATTTAAAAAAAAATTGAGATTTTAGCCAACAATTCCTCCTCCACGTTAAATTAGTGGAAACACTGGAAGCTGATACAAGTTTAATATGTAAACTATTATAGTTAAAAAAGGAAGCAATATAAAATATGCATTGATTTATGTATTATATATGTAATAATTGATATCTAAATATAGTTTTTTTCCCTGCTCTTTCTTTATTTCACTCTATCGATAACTTATTTTCACTTTAACTGTGAACCAAATGATGGCAAATGCACCAATCAGTGTACTGCAAAATATATGCATAATATTTATATATATAAATACATTTTGCAGTATACTGGTTGGCCCATTTTTGTGCCCTTTTTGGTTTGTCCGAATGTTTCCCTGAATATTTTTCTATGAATGATATTAGGGCGATAAACAATCACATAAATCAGCGGTGGACATCCAGAACAAAATTTTAATTTTGGGAAATATTATTCAGCCAAGCTGAACTTTTCTACTTTGCACAAGTCTACCAATTAGAGAGCAGATTAGGGTTGCTCAGAAAGGCGAGAAGTCGGGAGGATATAAATGTGTTGAAAATAAAAGGGATTCATATCCTCATAATAGACATCTTTAAAAAATCATCAACAAAGTGCAGAAATTCAAAAAAAAAAAAAAGTAAAGGCAACGTGAATTTCAAATGTAAGCTAATACAATGTTAAACAAATATATGCACACCAGTCAAGTCATAAGGCTTGCCTTTCTCAACAGATGCAAGTCTTATGGCTTGACCGGTGTGCAAATTTTTGTTTAACATTGTATTGACTATCCACAGACAATTTTTCCCCACCATAACTTTTTTGGTTTTTGCTTTGAAATGTAAGCTAACGTAGACAAACTAACTTGGACAACTTGTTAAATCACCTATTTAGTCTAAATTAAAAAAATTACTTTAAATTCACTTTAAATACATTTCAGGTTTTAGTGAATAACCCTGTTAGTAGAAGAGTCCAGGTGTTTACACTCTCTGTATATAGCAAAAGCTGTGTAGTGTGAAGGTGATCAATGATATAAACATGAGATTACAATTCTTTATTGATACAAAATAAGCAAGATAGCTTGCTGTGTTATTTTGCATTCAAGAAAACTAAAACCACAGCTCTCCCTACTACAGTTTCTAATTGTTTGTTAAATAACTGACATTGTGGCAGTTACAGTTAATGAGGATTAAGAACATGTGAAAATTTGCCTTTTTTTTTTTTTTACTTTTATTCCGTCTGTCCCTACACAGAACAAGGTAATCACTCTCTCCCAAGCTTGTTAGAGTGAAATTTGAATAGGCAACTTTTTCTACGATGGCATGGATCTCATTATTTAATGCTCATTGCTAGGTCTTGCCGTGGTGAGTCCCAGGATACAATATCATGTCTAAGCTTTCTATATCACTAAACATTGTGTAGCAAAAAACATAAATCTATAGAGACTGGATACATGCCATGTGAAGGACAAACTGATTCTTCTTTCTATTGCACCTTGAGAATATTGTTCTTGATAGTGGAAGGCAACAAGGGCAGAGAAAGATACAGTCATGGGAAGGAAGAAGAGTAAGTGGCATGAAATTTGACCTATGGCAAGTGGGGGTGGAGAAGAGCATTGGAGGTGATTTCTAGCGATATAGCGAGTTAGGAAATATATTATGGCAAATCAGGAATATTTGATGCTAAAATGGACACCAGAGGTTCACAAGATAATATATTCCCCACTATACTGTATTAATATCAAAGACATCCACAGCAGTAGCATTGAATGATATGTGAGCTGTATGAATGTATTACAGAAGTCCACAAATATAAAACGTTATGATATGTGATGTTTACTGCAGAGCTCTACAGGAATAAATCTGTGGCATTTGAGGTGGATAGCATTCCACATCAATACACTTTAGTAATATTTTTGTATAGTTATGTAACCCAGAGCTGCACTAGAATAAACTCTGTGACATCTAATAAGTGTCAATTTATTGCAGAGCAACACACATAAAATTGTGAACTATTTGATGTACACATGAAATGTGCTATGGTCAGGGGCGGATGCCAGCCAGCCAGCCCCTGATATTGAAAGTGAGGAGGGAGAACTTTGTGTTCCAGGCCTAGTTCTCTGCTCCTTCTAATATATCTGAGCATGGCCACACTCTGATACATGTTCTGCGCCAACGTGTCTTTTTGTCTTATCTCTAAGACCTTTTCTTCATTATTTCTATCTTCTTACTGCTATCTTGTCATCAGTCTCCCATATCCTTGGATTCCTTGCCCATCCTGATATTTTGCCTTCCTGCAACTTAGCATCCCTTTAATTATCACTTATAATGTTATATTGAATACTCAAGTTCAGAATAAGCCTATTTGCTTCTTGCTGAAGATGCCAATATTGCATTTGTTATATGTGAAACTTTATGTGATGGATATGGACAGGGGTATGGTGCTTCATCCCACCCTCTCTGTAACATGTTGCACTGTACAATAAGGAGCACTGTGGCTATATATGTGTGTTATCCTCATTGCACTGCTGTGCCAACCCAGTAGCCCATCTTCCTAAATTAAGGTGGATCTGTCACTTTTGGGGGTCATCTTTGGTTAGTGGCTGTGGCAATCTCTGGTTAGTTCCGGTGGTTGTTGGGTGCAATGAAAGTTAGGTTTACTTACCTTAGCTGTCCTTTGTGGTAGCTGCCATTTTGACCCTGGGGAAACCCTGGGGAAGCACTTCATATGCCAGGAGTCTTGACAGTACAACACTGAGATCTATGGATGGTCCTGCAAGTCAGCGAGAGCCTCTATAGATGATGTCTTGCAATGAGCAAGACAATGCCTGAATCCCACAACTGTCACTTGTAACAGCTCAAGGGATTGGACAAAAGTTGACGGCAAAGTTTGTCCATAAGACGAAGTAGGCTCTACTTTGTCTTATGGAATCTTTGGATTGCATTGGAATTTCAATTAAATTACAATGCAGTCAGCATTAGTATTTCAGAAAGGTTATATCTTTGTAAAATGCTCAAAAATGATATAACCGCTTCATGAATTCAGTCAGGGGAATTTATGCATCTCTCTGTCTCTGACTACCTCCACAAATGACCACACAAATGGGTTTTAAATAACAGAGTCGTTATTTAGCTCACCCTTACACCCACATAGAACCACCAATGGACTTGCAAAATAGATGATCAAAGGAAATGGGATAGAGATGTTTCTTCACAGAGCAGGGTATAAGATTATTCTTTATTACTGCATGAGTGACATGTCTCTACTACTAATACATAGGCACATTGCAATTTTATGGTCAAATTAGAATTGGAATAGCCAAGTCAGATTTTTGCTTGCCTACCTTTGCCTAAAATTAGTAATTTGTTTATTGACTATATTTTACTATCTATGAAATAATTCTATCTGTTGATTTGCAAATTGGAGTAAAGAAAAAGATGAATACGAAAGGGTTCATAAAGTAGGGGGTACATCTTTAAAGGGACATTATAATCACCAGAACAACTACAGCTTACTGTAGTTGTTCTGGTGAGTATAATAGCTCCCTTCAGGCATTTTCATGTAAGCACTGCCTTTTCAGAGAAAAGGCAGTGTTTACATTGCCCATAGGGACACCTCCAAGTGGCTACTCCTTAGATGGCCACTGGAAGGGCTTCCTGGCTCAGGGCTGCATAGTAAGCAGCCCTGCCGTTCAGCGTCCCCACGCTCTGCATGGAGAAGCTGAATTTTCCTCATAGAGATGCATTGAATCAATGCATCTCTATGAGGAGGTCCTGTTGGCCAAAACAGCACTTGGCCCAGCCTCTGTGCCGATTTTTGCCAATCCGATACTTTCCCATAGGGATGACATTGGCTAAAAATCAGCCATTCTGATGATGTCACAAAGGGGGCGGAGCCAGTGCTGGCAGACTTACTCGGTGTTGGAAATAAGGTGAGTTTTAAACTTTTATAGAGGGGCCAAGGGGGAGGGTTAGCACTATAGGGTCAGGAATACATATTTGTGTTCCTGACCCTATAGTGATCCTTTAAACATCACTGTTGAAACTGTGCACTGTAAATGTCAACTGTAGCTTTAGATAGTTTATCCCTCAGTTGCTTAAAAGTATTATGGATTAGCATTGCTTTTTGCATATATGTAAATTGTATAATATATCTAATTGATTTTTTGTTTCTTTTTTATTGCCAGTACTTACAACACGTCGTTTGAGAGATCGAACACTTCTGAAGAAAAGAAAAGAGGAAGCCCAAGAAAAAAATACTTTCCTGTGGGTTTTTGGGTAAATCTTCAGGGATTTAAGGGGTATTGACATGAAAACAAAATTAAGCTATTTATAAGTGTTATTTTCTACAAATCAAAACTGAATATCACTATTTATCTCATATATATATATATATATATCATATCATAGGTTTTCAAAAATGTTGAACAAAATTGAGAATATGTTTATAGCAGGGGTGAGGAAAAGGTAGATCCGCAGATGGAATACAACTTCCATGAAGCTTCCCATTGGAAAGGCTGTGATTAAAGGTGGTTTACGATAGCCAATAGGGATGGAAAGAAAATCATTTTCGTTGTACTAGAAAGGATTTAATATATAATCTAGGTTTTAGATACATGTGGCAAGATCTGAAAATTAACTGAATGTGAGATGTGAACACAATCTTAGAGTCAAAGGTGACATCACGACAGTGAGTGTGTGAAATAGCACTAATGGTTACTGGCTTAGATGGTGACCCCATAAACAGACTCGTTTTCCACTTAAGCACCACACTCATTTTGGTTGCCAACTTTTAGTCTAGCTTTATTTCCCAGGAATCTCAGTTTTCTTTCTCTACAAGCTCTGCATCTAACTTACCCTAAATCCAGGGCCGAATTAAGAGCCCAGTGGGCCTGGTGCTGACAAATATAATGGGATTGATTACGGAATCTTATCGACAGAAAACACTAAAACAGTTATACTTCCCAAGTGTCATGTATCTGGCGGAGGTGGTGCTGGAGGGAAACTCATAGGGTATAGCTATCAGAAAACACATACCCTATGCTAATCTCTCGCTTTCATCATTAAAGTAAATCCATACCCCCTAACAGAAACATTCGGTGAAGCAGGATGTCAGTGGGTGATGTAAAAGGGACAAACGTGCCCAAATAGGGAGTGTGTCTGCACAAAGAATTAGATGTCAGCCTGGTGTGAATGCATGTCAGGCTGCCTGCCAGTCATGCAGGATGACCAACCAAGGGCATACTATGCAGACAGCACCCTGAGATTGGCCTAAATGCAACTAATGATGCACTAACTCTACACTTTCTAAGGACTGTCCCCTAAGGACTCGCTGGTCCACTCCTCTCCTAACCTTCTTACTAGCATGCTGTTACACAGTCTGGGACAGAGAAAAGGTGTATGTAGTGAGTGTAGAATAAAGGGGAAATGCCGCAGTGTTAGAGAGACTGAAGCAGCAAGAGCATTTGCATAGTGCATAGTCAGCTTTTCATTAACTAATTTAATTGTCAGCCAGTCCCCACAAATTTTGTTCCCCTACATCCCTCTTAGGTTTCCATATTTAAGCAATAGCATGTGAAGAGTAGTAAAAAATAGAAATTTAAATCAATGGGCCTATTTCATGGCCATGAGCCTGGAGCTGCAGCTCCATCAGCCCCTATGTCAATCCAGCCCTGCCTAAATCTACAGTATATCTCCCAACAACCATGATTTGGGACCTTTTTACACATCCTTATTGCACCTGTTGTTCATTATTCTTATTTCATATATTCCGTCCAACTTTCATATTAATTTTCTTTTAGTATAAATACATTTGTGCTCTTCAGAATTTCCTAATCTTCACCACCTTCATTTCTTTTACCTTATACCTTGACTAAGTTTCATGTCTCTTTTTATTTCATTTTTCTCCCTTCCTTTCACTCATGGGGGGCTAATGTGTCGAATAGACTCCTGACATAGCTGTGACGCAAATGTCAATGGTGTCATTTCACAGACACTGTTACAAAAATCAAGTATTAAAAAGACAAATGAAGATGGTGGCTGTAACCTATGCTTAAAGTCTCCAGGCTGCTCATGGGGCATATAATGAGTTGCCCTGAGACCTACCCCTTTGATTCCAACACTGAACCAAGGATTTTTGCTGAAATAAAATGTTTAATGAGCAAATCTTTTATTTGAATATATATGAGTCTGCTTATATTTCTGTGAGCTATTTGATATAGAAGCATATTACAGTTAGTCATTACATGTCCATGTTTTGAGACCCAACCTAATATAGTGATAAAGTTCTCTAAAACCACCAAATAAGTAAGTAAGTAAAATATTATACTAGCTAAAATATATAATTCAGTGCACTTTTGTCATGAAAAAGCATAGCTATGTGAAATACTGTTTATTAGAACAAGTTATATAAAAGAAAACTAGAGGGAGATTAGATAGGATAAAAGTTACCTGCACTCTCTCCCAAATCCCTATTAAACCCCTTAAACAAATGGAGGTTATTTAGTTACTCCAATGGCCATTGGAGGGAATGCCTGCCTGCCACATCAAGGCAGACCTCTCAGGGGACCCACCCTAGGGATTTGGGAGAGAGCGCCGGTAACTTTTTTCTTTCGTTTTTTCTGTATGTATTGGGAGGCTGATGTGTACTCTGGTTGTTGCTGCTGCCCAAGAGTAGTGGGAGTTTGAGAGCAGGACTTTTTTTTTTTTTTGTATTTAGATTAGATAGGATGATCACATGTCGGTGTAGAAATGATATGTCTAAAAAGATCGTAATAATGAGGAGTCAGCTAAAGGGACAGTATAGTCACCGAAACAACTTTAGCTTAATGATGCAGTTTTGATGAATAGATCATGCCCCTGCAGTCTCACTGCTCAATCACTTTGTTTACATAGGCGTGAGCAGCCTAGTGCATAAGGGTGTGCACCCTAAAGCACTAACACACATGCCGCATATATATATATACATATACACACACACACTGCTGTGTGTATGTGAGGGTGCTGTGTGTATGTGTCTGTGGGCACTGTGTGTGTGTGGGCGGTGTGTGTGCGTAGGCGCTGTGTGTGTGTGAGGGTGCTGTGTGTGTGTGAGGGTGCTGTGTGTGTGTAAGTGCAGTGTGTGTATGTTTGTGAGGGTGCTGTGTGTGGACGCTGTGTGTGAGGGCGCTGATCTGTGTACATAGTTTTACTACTTAGAAAATGGAATATATAACACAACATAATATTGAGCAGGGACCTCCACCTCTCTGTTCCTGTACGTCCAGTTGTCTGGTATCAATTACATGTATGTTAGTCCACCCATTGTACAGCGCTATGGAATCTGATGGCGCTATATAGATAATAATAATAATAATAATATGGCTCTGGCAATGCTACCCAATGTTAAAGGGACAGTCCACTGCCCAAATAAAAAATAAAAAATCACTGTTTATTAGATAACCCAAATAAATCAATGCATGCATTTAAATATGCATTTTTTTCATTGGGGTATGTCTAAAACCAGACTTTGAAAGCTCCAAATCTTGTGTCTGCAGCATTTGCCAGCCCTCCCCTTCTTTTCCAGCCCAGGCTTTTTGTGGGTTTCCAATCACAGCTTAATAAGAGGTCTTTGCAAGCTAGAGCTCTGGGCAATTGCTGCCTCTTGAGTTTAGCTCCACTGAGCTAACCAAACCAGGAAGTGAAAGGACAAGTTGTCTGATTGACAGCCAGGGGTTGTAACAAGGTTAATTTATAAAAGTGACATTTTCTATTGAATTCGGGTACACAACCAAATTGCACATGCAAAAGCTTTTAGAGTACTCTGCTCACTGATAAATGTGTATTAAAGCTCATACATAAGATGCTGTGTTCATGGATGAACGTGTATTAAAGTAGATATACAAAATGCTCTACTCATGGATAAATGTATATTGCAACATGTACATAGAATGCTCTGTTTATGGATGAATGTGCACCATCATGTGCTATGAATGAGCTGAGCTCATATTACTATTAATATTAGTATTACTTATTATATGAATGTTTTACATGAAAATTGATAACTGAGTTTGTGATCTGTAGTCTGTATATCCCAGCTCCTCTCAAGTCACTGAAGCCTTTGTAAAAATGTTCTAAGAAGTGATAGTATCAGAGCTCTGCTCAGACTAACTGGCAAAAGCAATGATATCAATCTCCTGCAGCATATAGATCAATATGTAATTGGGGAGAAAGTATGTGGATTTACAAAAAAGCCAGACCCATGAATACACACATAAACCAAAGAAAACATTTATTTCCCATGTTAGCTGCCAATGCAATAAATGTGGAAATGACTGTAAGTCATGGTTATTATGTGAGATACACGAGTGGCCTGGCGTTCGATTAAAATGTATAAGTCATAACAAAATAAAGGGCTTATGGTAAAGCAACATTAAACAAACCTTATTAAAGGGACACTGTAGGTACTAAAACATATTTCATCTCATTCACTTGGATATAGTGCCTGGAGTCCCATTGCACTATCTCTTCATTCAGAGTTAAAACATTTTGGAGCAGTGTTACACTAAATAGGGATCCCTGGTTTCTCATACCCACGCCGCACAGGAGGTGTGGGTATAGAGGAGATTACACACTTCCTTATACGGCATTTCAGAATGTTTGTAAACAATAGGTACCAAAATACTTCCCGGTGGCAGAATGCGAGCGGCTTTTACTGACCTGAAGTGAAAACTGTCCATCTACAAAATCATAGCATAGCCTCATTATCTTCAGCTGGGGAAATTCGAGACTAATATTAGTAAACTTAAGGTCTCTCTTGTAAAAAAAGTTTTTCTCGTAATAAAACATTTGAATTTTTTTGTATATTTTTAACACATACAGTCACATCCATTCTTTTTATGGATTTCTCATAATTCGTTGCCAACACATTGCCTCATTGCCAGCCAGTTAGAGAGTGCGGTTGTCGGGGTTTGTTAGTGGGGGAGTCATTGCCCTGAGCGTGCGGTCAGATGGGGATGATGGGATATGTATCGGGGTGTCATGAGGGAGTGGATTGAGTTGACCGTGACCTTATATTAGGTTGCGGTTGACCCGGGTAGTTCTTTTTTGGCATTCGGGTGCATGTTTTATTATGTTCATTTGACATTGTTGGTGATTTCCCTGCTTCTCTGTGTGCAGGTTCTGGCAGCTACTTTTCCCCTTGGTCTGTCAGTGACACGCAGCACATGCTTGTAGAAACATTATATATCCCTATAGACCTTTCAGGTCAGATTATAATTATTACCACTGCTTATTCATTAGGTGGTTATCCACAGTTCAGATAGTGTTACCGGAGAAAGCCGCAGAAGCCACACACAGAGAGATGGAAGCAGGTCTGATTCAGGAAGTATAAGGTCTTTATTATCACCGATCGGGTCTCAGCTGAACTCCTGTTCCAAACTGTCTGAGCCCAGAGCACACATTGCAAAGGCTTTTTGTTAACAATGCTCATCCCCCACATTCCCTTAAACCAATCATCTGATACATTTAACATATGCCACATAGAGATTTCAGCCTACTAAATTTTGGGCCTTGCTGAAATCCCATCACAATAGGAGTTTCTTTATTTATGTATGTATTAATGGATATTAATTGACACATATTGTTCCGATTTTTTGACAGTTACCAGTCCTGACCTGCCAGTTGTGAGTTTCATCTATGAGCTTTATTCTGATTGAACAGTTGATTGTTTAAGTAGTTTTGTATTCACCCTGCTGCCTTCAGGTGTTGAGAGTTATTTTTTTTTAGTTCTCGTTTTTGACTCACACACTATGTTTGCCACAACAGCATATTATTATTTATTTTTTATCACATCTCACTTCTCTCCCAGACTATTTTGGCAGATGGGCTGCTCTAACTAGACTAGTAGTCGAGTAGACTGTAGATTTTTGTCCTCTATATCTCATTATTCACGTCTCTTGTAGTTCACAGGGGTCACTTCAGCACCTTAGGTTACACAGGTCTTTGTATATTCTAGTGGTGCCATCGGAGAACGCTTTGGATTTTGCCACCCAGAAAAATGTCTATTATTGATGTGACATCATGGTGAATTGTCGTATAAACATACCCATTCATACCTGCAAAGCCACTGTGATAGGCCGAACGTGGTCAGCTGATGCTCTCAGCCAATCACAGCCACCCATTGCTGCTTGGGCTAATAATTCCTCACTAGCCCAAGAAGCACAGAGGGGATGGGGCTGCTGGTGACTTTTATTTAGCATTCAAAGATTAAAAACTGTGTAATGCTGAATGATACAATGACACCAGGGGACTCCAGACATTATAACCACTTCAATGAGATAAAGCACTTATGATGCTTACAGTGTCCCTTTAAGCCACCAATCAGAGTAGAGCTACCAATGAGTTTCAGACTTCTTATTTTTATGCACACACTTGCATATACATAATTGAAAGGGGGGGGGGGGTGGTGTTAGCAGTGACAGCAACTTTAGGATTTTAGTTTATTTTCTGCACTTTATTTTAGCAATAATAAGCATTCACACCTTGGTTAAATAAAACCATTCAAATGGCCATTTTAATAGAGCAAAAATTTGAAGACATGAACAGGGTTATTTACCAGTGTTAGAATTCAAAGTGAATTTAAAATTTAAGGCCATAGTAGCCAAACCGAAAGCATAGCTGAAATAGAGATTTTTTCTGGTTCAGTAATTTTGACCTTAAGTTTGAAATTCACTTCTCACTTAAGTGAATAACCCTGATATCTCACCTGATGAGTATGCCAAGTATTTTACGTGAGAATATTATTATTATATATGCAGGGAGCAACCCAGAAGCAAACGTTCACGTAAAACAAATGGTCGTGGAAAGAGGAAGCATCAAGTTAAAGAACTTGAGCCTGAGCCTGAGCCTGAGCCTAAACCAGAATTCCATCCAGAGCCAGAACTACATGCAGAGCCTGAGGTTTCACACGAGCATACAGAGTTTGTTCAGGAACACTCGGAGCATCAAGAAGATCCAGTCTCAACAGTGACTGAAAACGTGACGCTTATTATACATGAGGAAGAAGATGATCAAGTGCCACACTTCAGTTCACCTTCCAACACAGGTAGGTTCATGCTTTATAGCTCACAACTATCCCAAATATGGAAAAGCAAACAAGACCCGGGGCTTCAGCCCAAATGTAACTTTTATAACTCCTTACAAACATAAGCCCCTCACAAAACTCTGCCCTGTAGCACGTTCCAGGTCTAACCCTAAACTTCAACAATTTATATAAATCACAAACAATATGAGTTAGTCCACCTCTGCTTTCACAAAAAATCCCAAACAAAAATGGCGCTATCCTAACAATGTACTCACCAACACAAATTATAATACAACAGTAAATATGAAGGGATGCACACCAGAAATTCCTAATCAAACGATCTTTATTTGACATACAATTAAATAATAATCACTTCAATAAGATTAATCAATATGTCAGCATAAACCAAGTAAAAAGCCTAAAAGTGCTTAAACTGCTTTCTATGCCAATTTAGTGAATGGGGAGTCACTGATTGGCTAGAGCGTCAGCTGACCGCTCTCAGCCAAGCTGTGGTGCTCCTGCCCAATGACAATCTGTGCTTTCTGAATATGAGAATTTAGAAGCCAGATGCAGCCTGGGGGGAATGGACATCACGGCTGGAGGCAACAGGTTAAACTGTTCTTGAGGTAAGAGTTTCTCCAGGGGCTTCCTGGCACCATAACAACTTCATCCAGATGAAGTTGTTTTGGTGCCTGTTGTGTCCCTTTAAAGGAACACCCCGAGCACCATAACCCAACAGCCTCTTTTAGAATTTGGAAACTTTCTTGGGTTCCCCGTCATCCGCACTGTATCTGGTCTTCTCCTGCTGGAAAAGCTTGATATCTTCATTGGACCATACAGATCTGATACAGGGCTGCACTCATTGAATGAGAGCACTCAGTTGATTCTTTCAGCCAATGAATGCAGTCCTGCATTAGGTTGCTTAGCTGAGTGGAGATGACTGTGTTCTCCTGCAAGAAGAGTCCAGAAGCCAGAGCTGCGGCTGCAGGACCCAGGTACATTGCAAAACAGTCCTAAAATAGTTTGACAAATTACTCTGTGAGGGCACTCCTGGCACCATAACAACAGCAGCAGGCTGTAGTGGTTAGAGTATTTTTGAAGTGCTCCTTTAAGCTTTCCTGGTTTGCATGCTTACATATTTGCCATGAATCAAATTATGACATCAACGTTTATTAATAATAATAATAATAATACAACAGTATATAAACCTATATTTATTAATTCCACACCTGCTGTAATACAAGTGAAGTAAACATGCCACACAGCCCTGTAAGTATACACAAGCGCACAGGATGCGTGTGGTGACAAAACATTTGTCTGTACATGAACCATGTATAAACACATGATACTTTTTAGTCATGTCTTTTTTAGGCCATACTTACGCCATGTCCCTACTGCCCATGCTCTGTCGCTGCTGCCCCTGGATTGACTCCTAGAAGTGTTGGGTTGTACTTTAAAACCCTATAAATATTTTGAATTTTCCAGAACATATATATTTTCTTAGTATTGTTAGCTACACATTACAAGATTTGTATCATAACACCTGCAAATTATAGAAGAGCTGTCACATCTAAAGTACATTTTTGTAAAACCACCTTTATAACTTTAACTAATGTTTTCTGTATGACTTTATCAGTCTCTCACATCATTACGGAGGAATTTTGGCCCACTCTTCTTTACAATGTTGCGTCAGCTCATTGAGGCTGCTGGCATTTGTTTATGCACAGCTCTCTTAAGGTCCCACCACAGCATTTCGAGTTGCAGTCTGGACTTTGACTGGGCCATTGCAATACCTTGATACCTTTTTTCTTTTTCAGCCATTCTGTTGTAAATTTTCTGGTGTGCTTTGGATTATAGTCCTGTTGTGTGACCCAATTTTATCCATGCTATAGCTGCCAGGCAGATGGGCTTACATTTGACTCTAGAATTCCTTGGTTCATGGTCGACTCAATGACCCCAAGCTTCCCAGGTCTTGTGGCTGCAAAACAAGCCCAAATCATCACCACTGTGCTTGACATAGGTGTTTGTACTGATATGCTGTGTTTGGTTTTCACCAAACATGGTGCTGTGCATTATGGACAAACATCTCCACTTTGGTCTCATCTGTCCAAAGGACATTGTTCTAGAAGCCTTGTGGTTTGTCCAGATGCAATTTTGGAACCCTATGCCATGCTACCCTGTTCTTTTTAGAAAGAAGAGGCATCTTCTGGCAACCCTTCCAAACAAACCATACTTGTTCAGTCTTTTTCTAATTGTACAGCCATGAATGTTAACATTTAGCATGCTAATTGATGCCTGTAGATGTAACTCTTGTTTTATTTGCTATTTCTCTGAGCACTGCACGGTCTGACATTGGGTAAATTTGCTGGGACATCCACTCCTGGAAAGATTTGCAACTGTCTTAAATATTTTTCACTTTTGAATAATCTTTCTCACTGTAGAATGATGGATTTAATGTGTTTGAAAACCTTGCTGGACACCAGCGATTGCTGCTCTAAGATCATTGTTGATGTCTTTCCTCCTAGGCATTGTGTTAACACAAACCTGAATGCTTCAGAACAGAAACTGCTAAAACATTGGCTTTTATAGAAGTGGTCACACTTGCTGATGATCAATTAATCGAGGGTATTTCATTAGCAGCAACTGTCTGCTACTTAGCGTCTTAAATTCTATGGAAGCAGTAAGGGTGTACTTAGTTTTTCACGCTAGGCTTCTTCATTTTGGCTTTTATTTTTGTTAAATAAATCATAACACTGTGTAATATGTCATGTGTTCACCTAATAGCACCTAAAACGTGCTAAGAAACAGATTATTGTTAGAATGTTATTGTTATTATGTCCTGATATGTAAAATCATTGAATTCAAAGAGGGTGTACATTTATTTTTATATTTTATATATTTACATTAATTCCTTTTTGTCTACAATTGTGAGTTGACATGTAAATCCTATTTATAAAATGATAAACATAAATACGATGTCATTACGAAAGAAGTGTTCCATGTGTCAAATTCTTTCTTTAAACATTCTATACAAATCTGTTTTGCAGTTGAAGATGTGGTACCGGAGGCCAAAATTGAGCCGGTTGTTGAAGCACCTGAAGATCTAACTTTTCCTTTGGATGCCGAACAAGAAAAACAACAATATTATACTGCATTGCTTTAAAGTGTATTATCTGTAAAATTATGTTTTTACTGAAGACATCAAGCAGACACTGCATGAAATATGTATAAAGATCCTGCCTGGCAATGACTGTTTGCCACAAGAAATGTTGTAATCTTGCTAAAACACCAAAAACCATTCCTACTTGCAATCCATACTCTGTCTAAATCAGTTAGTCAGTTAGGTAATAGAGTCAATTTATTCCTACAATGGAGACGTTCATTCCTGCACATTTTTAATTCTATATGACTCTTGAAGCCGAAATGACAGAGTGGTGTGGCATATGTTTAGACAACATGTATAAACCGTCATATTCATTTATCTTCTGTGTATATTGCTGAATAAAATGTTAGTTTGGTTTAATATATGAATTTGGCTTGCCTATCAATTAAATGTACTAAACTTTTTCCAATGCCGAAACTCCTTCGGTGCTGCTGACTCCTCTGGCTCCCACGGCATCATCCAGCGTTGGCGATGTGGTGCGAGTGCAACCCCCATTCAATCACATGCTTCACATAGGAAAGCACTGAACCCAGTGCTTTTCTATGAGCTGCATTTGGTCACATGACCGAGTTTCCCTTGACTGTTGCTCACGAAGCGTCTCTTGTGGCTGTTTGAAAGATGGCTGTTTTTAAAACTGCAATGTGAACATTGTTTTACATTGCAGTGTTAAAACTACACCGCCAATGTAGACAACCTCATTGAGATAAAGTGGTCTAAGTGCATTTAGATTGTGTCCTTTAAACTGCCAAAGGCAAGTCCAATGCCATTTCCCAGAATCATGAGGGATGTGGTTGCATTTGACTTGCCAAAAATGTGACTGTGTAAAACATTTATAAGTAGAAATCTGCACTTGGAACCTTCATGTCTATTACTCCTAGCTACTGCACCATCAAGATCACATTTTTATAAGTCTAATGAACATGTTATATGATAAACACAAAACCACAATAATGTGGGTCAACTTGGATAAACTTGCACTCTAAAGGGATATTATCCACAGAAAACAACAATTCTAGTTACCTTCTATTTACATATGATAAAATGAACCAAGTAGTTTTAAATAAAAGCTATTTTGTATTTATTCACCTATTTTCAAAGTATTGTAACAAAATAAAAAAGATGGAAAAAAGTAGTAAATTTACAATCTGCCGTACGAAAGGAAATACTTTTGAGTGTAATGTAGAGCTGGAGATGACATCCTCAAGTCAACATGCTTTGTATATAGACTATGCCTCTAAAGTCTTACTTCTCAATTCTCTGCCATTTAGGAGTTCAATCACCTTTGTTTGCAGCCCTAGCCACACCTCCTCTGGCGGTGATTCACACAGCCCATATGAAAAAAATGGCCTAATTTTCAATCAGATGTAAATTGTAAACTAACTTTAGACGTTTTTATCTCCTCCTTTGTAAATTGAACCTTGATCACATACAGTAGACTCCTGCAAGGACTAGCAAGCTATTGGGAAGGCTTTGCACTAGGGCTGCACAAACAAAGTGACTCCTACATGTCAGAGAATTGAACAGTGAGACTGCATGAGCATTATCTATACAGCAAAACTGGTTCTATTAGCTAAAGTTGTTTTGGTAACAACTAGTTTAAGTGTGAATTCAAATTGATTTTAGGTAAATTCAAACAGGGTTATTCACACCGGATTTTGTCTGAATGTGCAAAGTCTGGTGAAAATGACTACATTCCGACCGGATTGGCAATTCACAGATTTAGTAAAGCCAAATGCGGTCAGTAACACTCGTTTGGATGCATTCAGAAAATTAGGGATTTTCACATTCGAACCAATTAATAGCTTGAACTGAAGACTTATAACAACTGAATGGCTGAAGATGAATTAAATGCATCCAGCAGGATCCGTGCTCGCAAATTATCTGGCGAAACCCGCGCGTCAGGGGCTCAGTGGTCTCTCTACAGTACTGGCAATGTTAGGCTTACATATGCATTGCTCTAGCAGGTGGGAACTTTGATCGGCACAATCTTTTACTGTTGTGGCATCTTTGTTTATTATTTTTCCTTATCTTAGAATTATGAGATTTTAACCAGTATATTCAACTGTTAGAAGGCAACCTATTAGGTGCACATGGAGGCACGAGTCTAGTTCAATTGAGGCACCTCAGGATCTAGCTGTACTTTACACTTTAGGTCTACTGTGAGGCAATGTTTGAATACAAACATGATCAAGTTAATCACCCCATTATATATATCACGACTGGGAAGCGATCAATAGTGACCCACCCACATGGGCTTTGGCTGGAGTACACTCTGCTTGGGGACTATGCTTTATTAGTCGATATAACCTTTGAATATTGATCTAACCATAGAAACTGACAGGTAGGGCTATAAACAGCTATCTATTTGAATTTACTGGTTTCTACTACTGGTAGTTTATTTAATTAAATGTTCAGGCGACAGTCCCCTATCCAGTGCCCTCGTAGGCAACTTAGGACAACAGTTTCACCTCATTATACTGTTGTATCCTACTAAAACCCGAACTTATAACGGCATCTGTTACTAAAAATTGCTACACTTTGGGCAACAGTAACTATCACACTGGTTCCATGTCCACTGGGACAGTATATACACTGAGATAACGTGATACATCTGTAGCTATGTTGCTTTACTTTAGTACAAGTTTGGGATGCAGTAGCCTTTTAGGGCATTGAAGATATTTTCCATATCAGTTTTATCAATCGTATTTTATTGATTTTAAGTTACAAATAAAGGTTACGTTTTATTGTCATTATTCATTGCCTTTAGCACCTAGCAATTATTTGTTTTCTTTAGGGAACACACACACACACATATATATATATATATATATATATATATTTATTTATTTATTTTTGCTTTTTTGTTTTCCTTTTTTTTTTGCTCTTTCCATTTTAGCAGATAGCTCACTTTTTTAGTGTCCTTAAATATGGCAACCCTACATAAAGATAGCAAATAGTGGAGCTATCCACTAAACAGTTGAAAGATCAAAATTAAGAGGTGTCATCAGCCAGCCCAGAACAAGAATTCTGTGTTGCTAATGTAAATTCTGCACATTATCCCACCCCACCAGTGGAAATGATTGGTGCCCCCAGGCTTGAATGTGGTATCTTATATGCACTACACCTCCCCCTCCCCCTCCCCCCATATATTGTTTGCAGAATTGCCATTATGCAGCCACAATTAGACAATTGGAGACTTGATTCCCTGTCCATTCAGATTGCATCTGTATGGGAAGATTGTATCTGTGTTCTAAAAGACTAGCTAGAGATGAACTCCTTAAAAACCCTTATTGTTACTGTTGCTGTAACAGGATATGAGATTACATAATATGTTGAGAACAGACAGTGTAGGCTTCAGAGACCAGCAACTAAACATGCAATAGCTTTGTATAAACTCCAACCAACACATGCAATTCATTCAACTGATGAATGCTTGGCAAGCTTTCACATCCTATTTATATACTGTACCATGTGAATTGCATCTAGTTATAAACACAAATTGACACAATTGCCATTTTGTTCATGCAACATGGCTCTTACCTGAACATGCATACTTATAAGGGTGCCGTTCGGGCCAATTCATACAACAAACATGATCCCGCGCACTCACTCGTTCACTAAAGAGCAATTTCAAAACTCACAGAATGTAATAGTGTTGTTTTTTTTTTTTTTTAAAGCTCACAATATGTAGTAGTTGTTTTAAAAACAACAAAAAAAAACACCTAGCCTAGGTATTTAGTTACAGAATATGAACATACACTGCATAAGCCGGCCACAACATCATTGTACCCTATTTTGGCAGGTCCTATCATTGCAACCTAATGCTTTCTCTTATGAGATTAATCCACTTACTTGGGAAATCCTTCCTTCTGGGACTCTGTGCAGGTCCAGGCTAAAAAGAATCCTGGATTGAGGCCGTATGACAGGCAGGGGTGCAAACCTGGGGAGTTGGCCTAAACATATATTAAAAAAAATCAGAAATTAACAAAATATTACTTATATTTACCTGTTTGTTTCAATGGTACTTGCTCCTGGTGGTGGTGATAGGTTTGCACAAATTTTTCCATTTGATGTTAATTTTTGTCTCACTGTGATTAGTACTTAACAGAACCATCTTCAAGATATATACTCCTAACAATTAAGCTTCTTTTGGCCACACAATAGGCACAGCCCTGAGAAAAATGTTAAAATGTTAAATCTTTAAAAAAAAAAAAATCAATAATAATGCTTCCACTAAAATACTTAAAAGTGTAGTAATAGGATTCCCCAGAAAACAAATAAAACAACAACTGGTTAGATGTAAATATCGTGAGGTTTAAAGGGGCACAGTGAAGCAATCTGTAGGACTAAGAGGGTTTGAAGGTTTTTTTTTTTTTTTTTACTTAACATGTTTGCTACGATTGATACTTATTGAATGTTTTTCACATAGTTGTTGTAAACTTTAACCACTCATTTTCTTTCTGTAATGTCTCTGTGTATATGTAGTTATTTAAATATTTCACCAGGATTAACAAAACTGTTCTAAGAACAAAGCAAAATGTATAATTGCTTTCAATGGTCTCTGTTAATCTGTTCATACAGGTTTTGAATGAGTTGCTTTCAGAAATAGGCTAATCAGCACTGATTTGTAGTTTGGGTATTAAGGAAGGTCAACTAAGTATACTATTAACTTTGTAAAAACACAACTGTTTATCAGATATCAACGATTGATTTTCTGTCAACAAAACCACTCCCAGTAGTAGCAATTCCATAAGAAGTATCATTGTTCTTACAGAAGTATAGCCGCTGACTCACAGTTGATCTTCACAGAAGAGCAGAAGTCACAATCATAGGGTCTGTACTTTGAAATCTTTCTCACAGATGAGAAAGAAAACACCAAATATGATACCGGATGTAAATGTGGCATTAAGAAAAGGAGACTTTAATCTGTTACGAAATCTGGTAGAGTCTGGAGCTGACGTGAACCTAAAAGATGAAGAAGAAAGAACTCCTCTAATAAACTGTTGTCTCCACGATGGTCAGAAATGGGCAGTGGGATCTGCTAGACTTCTACTGACTTATGGGGCAAAGGTAGGCTTTTGTGACAAAATGGGTCGGAATGCATTAATGTATGCGGTCCTGTACCAACGAGAGGAACTTGTCAAACTGTTTTTGGAGGCATGTGACTTTGATTTAACTCGTGCAGATAAATGGAATCATACAGCACTCTCTTACGCAACATGTTTTGGAAATACTAGAGTGAAAACAATGCTAATCAATATTTTAAACAAGTGCCACTTCATTTCAGAAACATCTAAGAAAAAAAGCATTGTTAAGGAGAAAAATAGTTTTCGATTGCCACCAATAAATTACAATCTCCAAACAACCCCAAGGACATCAAATCGACCATTAAATGTGACTAGCATTTGCAATTCAGAAAGCAAGATGAATATTTCACCTTCAGAAGCAAGATACAGAGGAATTGAATATACGCTACCATACAACCCAATACCAGCAGACATCTGGGAAAAAAGAATGAGACTCCACAGCCCCGCAAAGCAACAGTATTCCAACCCTTGTTTACTAGGAGACACAAAAGATATGTTATCAAAAAATGTGTCACCAAAATGTGGTAAAACCATGGATACCAAGGACAAAACAGGTATTAACCCAAGTGATGTGAAAACTAAAAATGAGCAATCTGACTGGCGAAAAGAGTTCCAAAACCTAATTGCAATGCTTGAAATTAGTATTAGTTCATCTTATTGTAAGGGAGCTAAGAAATTATCTCTGGACCAGAGAACGTACCCCAATATTTATAAGACTGAGCTTGATGTTTGCACTGTGCCTTCTATCCCAAAGAAAGGAAGAAGACTCTCATTTGATACAATGGATGTTCTGTTTGATAAACGTTCTGTAAGAGGCATCATCAGGAGAAGAAGCAGTTTATCTGTGATTCCTTTGATCAAAGTGAAAGAATACAAATGAGTTTGAAAGAAAAAATAGAAGTTTGCAAAATCTACCAAAACCAGCTTTAAAAAAAAAAAAAAAAAATGTGTTAGAGATATTATTTTTTGTGAGTATATTGAAACAATCAAGAAACTTAAAAATGCAATAGCAATATACACTGTAGGAATTTTTCAAACCTATTCTCTTTTTTTTTTTTCACGTAAACTCTCAATTATTTGTTTTAAATAGATGCCTTCAACATATTGCAAGCAGTTTTTCGGTTCTTTAAGTGATGCACCTACCAATATTCGAAAGCACATCTAAGTATATACACGCATTCTATAAACAGGAATTTCTTACCCTTAGTTTCCACTTTTTAATTTGTGAAGAATCCTTGCTTTTCCTGTAAAAATCATACATTTTCCGTTCTCTCTTCCACAATGCACAAATAATTGTCATGAGGTGATTTTCAATAAAGAAAGAAAGTTTGAATCAATAGTTAATTTATGAAAGAAAACATCTTGCAATCCATGAATCTAGCATAAATCTCAACATGTACATTTTAAATAATTAAGACAAAGCTTTGATTACATAACAATGTAGCAAACGGTAATTGCTGTATGAACGAGTCAATACCTGTTGTAAATTAGCTTTGAGACCAATTAGCTAATAATAGGCTGAAGAAAGATAATAAATACTTAATAACCGGGCAATCGCTACAGAATCTCATCCTTTATAACGTATGCAGTGTACAAGCTTTATTTCTCATATTTTTCTTGAATAAATCAAATATTATCATAAGGGGGAGTGTTAGATAAATGTTAATTGTCATCTGAAATATCAGATTTAGAGAAAACAGTAAGTAAAATGCATCCCATAATAATAATAGCAGTAGGAATAATAGTAATAATCAATTTTTGAAAGATTTTATTTGAATGGCTCTATGATTCTTGCAGGCACATTTTTTCTTTAATGTAATACATATTAAAGAGACACTCTAAGCACCATGGGCTTGGCACCCACAGCCAAGCCCATTTGCTGTGATTTGGATAATGCATTAGCCGTCATTCAATTATAGACAACAATTAATTGCTGATAGCACTGGGGCATGTCTATGCCTATTTTTTCGGTAAATGCAGACCTTCACCTCCCATTAACTGATCTGCAGAAATGGGGTCAGAAAAGCCCTGGTTTTGTCAAGCTGCATAAAGAGCACCCAAATACTTTTTTGCGTCATATCTACGACAATAAACTGTAGTGAATATGGTGCCTAGAGTACTTTTAGTTCAACTTTTTTATGATAAGCAAAGCTACACTTAAATTAACAGCCAACACTTAAAGGGATGCTCCAGGCACCCAGACCACTTCTGCCCATTGGAGTGGTCTGGGTGCCAACTTCCACTACCCTTAACCCTGCAAGTGTAATTATTGCAGTTTTCATAAACTGCAATATTTACCTTACAGGGTTAACTCCTCTTCTAGTGGCTGTCTACCACACAGCCACTATAGGGACTTCCGTGTTCTTAGAACACGAAAAAAGTGTTTAAAGCAACGCTGGACGTCGTCACGCTATGTGAGGACCTCCAGCGTCACCGAAATCCACATAGGAAAGCATTGAGAAATGCTTTCCTACGGGGAGGTCTAATGCGCATGCAACTTGGGATTGGGGGTGGGAGGGAGAGGGGCACTACGGGGTCCTGCAGTGCCAGGAAAACTAACATGCTTTCCTGGCACTGGAGAATCCCTTTAATGACTTTAATGGTGTTGCAAGGACAGTTGCTACCCAGGAGAATATACACTGCACAAATATGTCTATTATTCTTAATCAAGAAATTCTGAATTTTGTTTGACTATTACGACCCTCCACATACCGGCAATATAAATAAATGCAATGTGTTATTTTCAGTTATATTGTATGCAATTTTCCTGTAACAGTAACAAGAATAAAAAAATGAATATATACATCCGGAATAATGAATTGAAGGCTTTGACTGCTTAGTAATGTTTCAGTAACTAAGTGCTCACAAAACTATTCAATGCATGTTGTAAATTACCGGTGAGAGCCTGTGCCATTAGTGCATATTAGGCTGAAGTGAGATAATAAGGCCTTAATAACCAGGCAATACCTACTGTCTATCAGCTTTTGTTAGTTTCTGCAGCATGCAACCTTGAAGGCCTGTATTAATCCAAATTACTAGGGATTGAACACAACCTGTTTTGGAAGCTACAGAGCCATATACAGTCATGATAACTAAAAACGCCACAAATAATCTGTTGGATGGTGTGCAGAGAGCTATACAGTGAAAGAGTTATTTACATTCCTGGAAAGACAATTTACTCTTTAACCCCTTCAGGACCTAGGACGGTTCAGGACCATCCTCGGCATTTTTGCGTTGCCGGTCCTGAACCGTCCTAACGGAAAACGGGCGGCGGAAGTGATCTCCGATCCCGTTGTTACTATCTGCCCGGCATCCCAGGCAGAGAGTAACAGCCAATTGCGGCGTGTGAGTGATCCGCGATCACTCACAATTGGCTGGTGTCAAAGTGGGTGTTACAAACACTCACTTTGACACTGATATCTGCCTCTCTCCCCTCTGTAGCGTTTTGTGCGGCGAGAGAGAGACAGAGATCGTGATATATTGTTGCAGCAGGTGTTCCAGAGAGTTTTAAAAAGTATCACCAGTGAATAAAAATCCCCTTCTAACCCCTTCCCTGCCAGATCTGTTACAGACAGTGCATTTGTACTGTCTGTATTTAGTTTTTGCCCTTAAGGGTTAACTGTACTGTAACATGTACAGTTTGGAGGAGGCATATGTCTTCTTGGCGTCAAACTCTGACGCCACTGACACTGCGTCCGATTTTGACCCAGGTCAGTTTAGCGACACGTCTAGTGACATGTCATCTGTGTGTGAGCCAGCTGCTAAAAGAAGCTGTGCTTCCCCTGCTACGCCGAATGTGGAGGAGGACTGGGTACCTCCACAGTCAGCTGAGCCCAACATCCCCCTTTTAGTGCCAACGCAGGCATTAATGTGAATGTGGTTGACTTCTCCCCTATACAATATATGGAGTTATTTTTAGGGGATACCATCTGGGAGGAGATTGTTTCCCAGACTAATTTATACGCTAGCCAATTTACTGAGACCAATCCAGGTAGCTATACAGTCAGGGAGCATGCTTGGCATCCCACAGATGTCCCTGAACTTAAAAAATTCTGGGCTCTTACAATGCTCATGGGGATAATAAAGAAGCCATCAATCCGCTCTTACTGGAGCACCAACCCAATTTGTTCGACTCCTATATACTCACAAACAATGCCTAGACCAAGATATGAGCTGCTGCTGAGATACTTACATTTCAATGACAATACACTCTGTCACCCCAGAGATCACCCCCAATATGATAGGCTTCATAAAATACACCCACTGGTAGACCATCTTCAGCACAAATTTACTGAAGTTTATACTCCTCAAAATTTTTTATCTATTGATGAATCGTTAATGAAATATAAAGGGAGATTAGGATTCAAACAATACATCCCCTCAAAGCGCTTTAGGTATGGCGTAAAATTCTACAACCTGTGCGAGAGCGAAAGTGGCTATACATTTGCCTTTCGTGTTTATGAGGGGAAAGATGGTCAACTGGACCCTCCTGGCTGTCCTAAATCTCTGGGGACAAGCGGGAAACTTGTTTGGGACCTACTGATCCCCTTGTTCAATAAAGGTTACCACCTTTATGTGGACAATTTTTTAGCATTGTCCGTTTGTTTCAAACTCTTTAGGGTTTCTAGATACTGGCCTGTGTCACTGTGAGAAGAAATGCCAAGGATTTCCCCAGACCTTTTAAAGAGGCCAAATAAAAAAAAGTGAATGTAAAGGTCTGCACAAAGCTAAAGTGCTTGCAATAAAATGTAAGGACAGGAAGGATGTTAATATACTAACCACCATCCATGATGAGAGCATGTCAGACGTCACTGTCCGAGGCAGAGTACAGACCAAACCTGTTTGCATCAGGGCTTATAAAATGCACATGGGGTGTTGATTTGGCTGATCAGCTGATGCAGCCATACCTTATCTTAAGAAAGACAAAAGCCTGGTATAAAAAGGTGGCTATCTACCTGATGCAAGTAGCAACACATAATTAATTTTTTCTCTTTAAGAAAATGAATCCAGAAAGAACCACCTTTCTCCAATTTCAGTTCAAGCTGATTTCCACAATAATTTATGGAGATGGTCAAGTTCCAACAGCGGTGCCAGAGGAGTCCAGACATTTTATTTTTTAAATATACCGCCAACTGCAAAAAAAAAAACAAATCCCCTGAAACGTTCCCGGGTCTGTTATAAAAAAGGGAAAAGGACAGTCACCCCTTTCCATTTTTTTTTTCTTTTGAAAGCAGCAAATTTTAGTTAGTCAGTTTCCTTCCCCCGAATCTCCAGTTAGATTCTTTTTGCAGGAGTTAGTTTAGAGAATGCTGCTAAAGGTGCATTTGATACCTGCACATTTTGTTAAAAAAGTTTTATGCTAGTAACATATCATTGGCTGGCCAAAACCAGATGACGTGTGCATAAAAAGCAGAATTCAAAAATTACCACCATTAGCACAATGGTTGGGGGAAGGATGTGAAAACACCCCATATACAATACCCTGGAATGTCTACTTTATAAAAATATAAACTTTTATGATGTTAACATTAACTGGGGGATGCAAAAATATGCCAAACTGAAGATAGGCCAAGCAAACCTATGTATATATATATCAAGTTGAAAAACTGATATGTACAAGTCTCGATTGTGGCCTTTTAGCCCCCAAACAACCCAGCAAACCTATGCATGGGTGATATCAGTGTACTCAGGAGATGTTGCTGAACACATATTGGGGTGTTGTTTGGCAGTGATAAATAACAGGATCTGTTAATTCATGCCTAAAGTACAATGTATGTGTAAAAAAACACGAAAAAAATTACTACCCAAAAGTTTGCCAAAGGCTGGTGGTAGAATTATTGAATGAAAAGTGTTAAACTACCACCATTTAAAATACCCTGA